CCCCCATGATACCCTAGAGCAGAGTGCTTCTCCCTGGGTGCTACCCTGAACTATCAGATCCACAATCAGGCCCTCAGCCACCAAACGACTTTAATGAATACACAATCAGAGCAGCTGGGGGTCAGCTCAGGCCTAAGGGTGCAGATGCCATCCCTGTCAGACATGCACTTGTTTCCGTATTTGTCATTGATTCTGTCTCTGTGCTTTTACCGCAATCGGCTCAACTGGTAAGTGATGTCTGACACCATGGTGACTGGGAAGAAAATATGGAGAGTGTGAGTCAGGTTTTGTTTTCTTTTTGTTTTTTCCCAAATAGTTCTCATTAGGTCTTGGCAGCATCTTAGTTTCACTTCATGATTCTTAAGCTCCTAAAAGGATATTATTAAGCTATTTATGGAAACTGTCCAATTAAAGAAAGGTCAGACAAAGGTGGAGCGACATGCCACGCTATAAACTGTACCACCCTCTCTTTTGAATCAAGAAATATGATTGAAAAGTCTTTCTGTGGTCAGGTCAGTTTTAAGTTGAGATCATGGTTTATTTCATTGACTTAAAACAAATACAGTTCACACTAAAACTTATAATGATAACTGATCACTTGATTATCCAAGATTTGTAAATTGTTCAATGCTGACTTGCCATAGTGGGCTAAAAAAGCCCTGTTGTTATTATAATAGCTATTATAGGATAGCCTTGTGGTAGCAATCTCTACACTTATTGTCATAATACACACCCAATGAGTAGCCAGTGGTTAATGCTGAACAAAATAGTGTTCTGTCTTTCGCGAACGATTCGTTCAAAAGAACCAAATCTTTTAAGTGAACATACTGAACCGAATCAATTCCTTGAGTGATTCGTTCATTGAGCTGGAGTGAGAAACAGTGTTGCCAGGCCAGCAGCCGGCGAATGAGGGACCACATGCACCAACGCCTGAATCACTTGGTGAACGAATCACGCAGTGAACTACACACTCTGGAGTCATTTTTGTCAGGCAAAACTACCTTTTCTTTTTATGCCACCACAACAACTTGCATACCATCTGACACAGCATGTAACAAGTAGTGCATTAAACCAGCAGCATTCTATCATTGCAGCGGTTTGCAAGGGAACGGTGCATGTTTGGTGTGAATTCTTCTAAACCTTCAGTGAACGAATCACTCACTGACCCAAATTTACCAAGTAGACCTGGTAAATAGCATACAAAAGGACAGTACACTCAAAACATCATGACTTACAAACAAGTTCATTTTTACAAACCTGTTTGCCAAAGCAACACAGTCAAACACTCTCATCTCTCTGTCCCAGAAGCTATGATCTGAACTGAATCCTGAACTGTTCAGCTGTGTATCAGTTCAGGAGGTCGGAGGCTTCTCCCACTAAATGATTCTGTGATTTGGTGAACAAATCTTTTGAACGAATCCTTTTAGTGAACTGATTCTAGTGATTCAGTACATCTAAAAGAACCGCCGTGCCCATCACTAGAACAAAAGCAAAACTAAAACATCCTATATTTTGATTTATTTATTTATTTTTATGATGTTTATAATTCATTGGCAACAAGAGGTGACTGCAAACACTATAGAGACTGTATAAAGCATGGACTCATCTGAGTGACTCATCCACTGGTTTATGGAGAGCTGTTATGATGCCCAAAGATGGCAGTCATTATACTGGAAATGATGACTCAACCTAACTTTTGGGTCAAATCAAGAAGTGGAGCTGAGGTGGGCCTGTGGCCTCTTTGGTAGGAACATGCCCATCAGACAAATCAGCCTTATTATGCAAATATATGCACAACTCTAGTATGAGTATAATCAAACCAGCATGTGATTTAAAAGTACTCCATGTGCAGTATGAGCTGATAGAAGACAGAGGTACATGACCTAAATCTGTTCCTGTATAAGGATGTAAACATGTTTAACTTTGCTGTAAGAAAATGGAAATTAAACTGCATCATTTTTCATCATTGGAGGTCAATGCTTGGTTCACACAGGAAGGGAAGCAGGGTTCTCAAATTCAGCTGTGTGACTTAATTAGGTCCAGGAAATAAATCATTTTACTCTTGATGTTCTTGCAATCAAGGGGTCATGAGTTTGCCAAAACAACATCATGATGCAGATCTTAAAAAAGGAATCATGACAGCTGATTGGTGTCACAGCATCTGAAAGATTCTTTGCTGAAGTTGAAATTTCTGATCTAGACCAGCTTGTTGGTTATGCTTTATGAACATTTCTGTTGGTAGAGAAAGAGAAAAAATTTGATCAGATTCCCACCAATGATAGCCAAGATGTCATTACAGTAGATTTTGTTTGATCAGCTTGATTTTACTTCTTGCACAAAGCCTGCTACAAAGTGATCACAGTGTTGTTTGGACTATACAGACAGACAAACAAGAACATTTTGCACACTCATTTTCCCAAAGCAGCAGTCTAGATTGTATATTTCACATGAAATTTAATGTTGCAGATTAGCTCTCTGTGAATGAAGCTAAGTAAGTTCATCTCCATTGTTGTAAAAACCGTCTTTTCTGTCTCCCCTCTTTTTGTCAAGCAGCCAGTAACTGATAGAAGATTATCAAATGTCATTTTATGCTTTGATCTGCAGAAACAATGAGCCCTGGTCACACCCCTGCTAACTAAACCTCATGAAATTAGCTGACTTTTCCTTTGTGAACCTGCAGACAACCCGAGCCCCGGGGGTGGTAAGAAGTCATCTCTGTTTCATGTCGGCTCATTTTTCTGCTTGTTTGCTCGCTCTTACAGCCTCCGCCTGCACACCCTGACACAGCAGCAGACATTCTTTGCCAGAAGTGGAAGATAGCACCAGCAGGAGATGGAAACGATAAGGAAAGACTGTCATGACATGCATGTTGTCTTTTGAGGGAAAATTAGAGGCACAAAGTCAAAGAAGGAATTCCTGCTCTATGCATTTGAGTCTGGAACAAAGATCAGAAAAGAGAAGAGTTTTTATGCATGTGGAAGTGTGGTTCATTTAGTCCAACAACATGAAAACTAACTCTAAAGAAAATACACGTGTCATAGTCTGTAAAATAGTGAAAGTGTGCTGAGAGGCCAAAATGAGGTCAAAAAACAAACTGAGACTGAGAGGGTCGTCGCGGTCCATTTCAAGCATGTTTGGCCTCGGGGAAAGTTTGCCAGCTGCTCTTCATAAGCGACCAAAGATGCAGGTTAATAAAAAAGTCTCAGACAAAACTCCTTAAGGTTTTTCAAATCTGGGCCTCCTCATTATTTTAATTTCCGCAGCCTGGACTTGTATGAGTCCGTTTTCAATTTCCTACGGTGAACATTCCTGTGCAGACTGCAGGGGACATAGCATGTGGACGAGTATGTCAGTGTTAACAGCTTACACACGTAAATCTCTTTTAGTGCTGAATGTAAATTTAAATAATTAAGTTTTGTTCAGTTTGGGTCAGATTCAGTTTTTCCTCTACCTTGTGTATGTATTTGACCACAAGTGTGTGCATTTCGCCTTGATTGTACATATTGTCTCATAAATCCGCATTATCATACCATTACCCTCTCTTTTATTTAGCTATTATAATTTTTCACATTATTACCTGACTTTCTTACTAATCACCAGGCTGTGTTAAATTTTTGATACTGATTACTCTAGGGTAAAGATGACAACTCACAGATTTGACCAGGCTTGGGTTATGTATCCCAAGCAAAGATGAATAATAAACAGGGGAACTGTCAATAACTCTGGTAAATTTAAAGTGATATTATGTAAAAGAAACTCCAGTTAATCCCCTTGCAGTGATTACAAAGCTCTACACATCTCACAGGTGTTTATTTCTGTGAAAGTTATTTATTTTTGTGTATAGCACTTCTTATGTTCTGTCTTGAATGATAAGTGGATACAACACTGAAACAGTTTTCCATTAGCTGGACTGTTGGTTACTTCTGCTTTTAAAAATCAAAAACAAGCAAATTCTGGTCCATTAAAGCTCCTGTCTGGAGTTTTTTTTACCATTGTGAAGTAGATGAAAATTCTCATTTATGTTTTTTTTTTATTTTCGAATATTCAAATAATTATTTGATTTAAAAAAAAAATGAATAGTCCATGTGACTGTTGTGTCCTCTTTAAGATGTATTTTTCAGTTGTTTTTACTACCACCAAGTTATAATGCTGTACATCCAGTGGTTGTAGGGCTTCTGAGAGCTGGTTGATAAAAAGAAAGCAGAAATACTGATAGCCTTCAAAGAGTTCTGGGAGGAACGGCTACAAATAAATATATTTGGAAAATGAGGTGAAGTGGGAATTTTGCCAAATAAATCTGGCAAATAGTCATCTTTTCCAAACAAAAGGCATATTTATATAACTATGTACAGTCATCAGTTAGGTCTATCTCTTTGCCCACAAGGACAACTGTTCAAACAATTGGCAAAAAGTTATTGAATAGTAATTTGCCCTTAAATGCCCATCCCTAATCCAAAAGCAAACAAGACAGTCAGTAACAAGATTGACAGTGGCTAAAGTAACTAAAGAAACAACCCTGTTTTTACAATTTCTACATAAAGTATTCACAATAAAACATGTATGTGGCTTTTAAAAGTCGGCAGAATAAAAATTTTGGTCTGAAGACACTTGGTAAGTATACAAAAGACAAGATAAGCAAGATCTGCTTTGTCCACCAAACTGCCAGAAATCAAAAGTTCCTCAATGGAGCTTTAACAGATCCAACAAAACAGTCACACTACATACAACCTTTGAATGCAGTATGCGGTACATACAAACACTGGACAGAAGGACTTTGTAATTGGACTTGAATGCGGCTCTATGCTTTGTTCACAAAGACAGTACATGTGATTTTTGAAAGATGTGAAAGACTGAAAATAGCTAATAAGTTTCCTATCTTTACACTATTGCAGGAATTGATGATGAGCCAACCCTATCTCTAAAAAGTGCAAATTTAAGGTTGAATATTACATAAAATGTTATGTTAAATATTATACAACCATAGATTTGAGGCCCAATAATCTGTTTGTGCATTACTTTGGCTGGAGGCAAAAAGGAAATGATCAGAAATTACAAGTCAGGAGGAAGCTGTTATACAAACCTCAGTGGATGTAGTACTTGTACCAGAAATGTTGCCAAAAATGAAAGCAAATGATAATCTGGAGGATTATCACTGAGCTGCCTGTATCACAAATCTGTAGCCTCATCTTGCAGATACTGTTTCTTCTTCTTTTGATGTTTTACTTCTGCTGCACACCTACTTTTTCATTTTCCAATTGTGCATATAAGAGCCATTGTACTTTATTCTATGTGATGTCATATAAATTCCTCAGGTGGTATATCATTTGCCGGTGTCAGCGCTTATAATTCAGAGGAGGTAACCCGCCTGATATCACAAGTGACAACCTGTTGATGTTTTTTTTTTTTTTTGCTGCGTAGGAAAGGAGTTGCTAGGCGCTTTTTTAGTCAGCAATTAATTTCAGCTCCGGCCAAGGGTGGGTGTGACGGTCCAAATGGCTCAGAGGGTTTGACTGCCTGCCAAGAAAGTGTGAGAGCAAAAAACAGAGAGAGAGAGAGAGAGAGAGAGGGAACACGAGTAAGAGAGATTTCTTCAGCTGACTTTATTTTTATGACCGGCAAACCACAGTAAACAAACAAAAGAGCACATAAATTGTTCATGGACTTCCCTCGAAAACCTAACCCAAGAACGGCTCTGAAGCAAGAACCAAGTCTGAAGGATGACAAACATTCAAGAGTGTTTGAAGTTTGATGTGTTTTTTTTTTTTTTCATTGAACCACTGAGTAGATCATGCGATGAGGGAATTTATAAACTCAGCCTTCAGACGGTGTTGAGCTGAAACTGTAAGCGGTGAATTACAACCTCCCTTGACTCTATCCAGACACCCCAAAAGGACTTACTACAGAACTCACTGCATCACGCTGAAATGTGTCTCTGCGTCGTTCCAAATGATGACTGAAATGTCAACCGTTCAGCCCAGAACGAATGTGTCTGCAGCCGTGTCGCCTTTTTAATGTTAAAATATACAAACTTGAATGTGTAATGTTTGTTTAGACAGGCACAAGACGGACTGTCATTTTCTCATTTCTCTTCCTGCTCAGCTGGAAAGAAGCTGTTTTGACAGTCAAATTGAAGTATACTCCCACTAGAGCGAAAAAACACTCTCAGTGCATGGAAATAAAGATGTCACACAAGTGAGAAGTCAAACAAATACATCTGAGGTTTAACTTATAACAGGGAGCACCTGCCGGCTCGGTGTTTTTCTTAAAGGATTCTCACCTACAAATAACAAAAGTCAAAGACTTAAAGGGATACTACAGCGTAAAATTAATTTATGGTCAAACACACCGCAATACCGAGTTAGACATCACGTAGAGAGATGAATGTTGCTGACCGCTTGCTTCTCTAGTTATACCAAATTTAGTAACGACCGCACAATGGCAGTACACAGCGGTCTGAGGAGCCAGATACAAACCTCAACCAAAACGCCACTCCATAACCACAAATAATGTTTAGAACAGCACCTAACTTCATCAACAAACATCTTTTTATCTTTGCCTGGTTTCTTTAGCAAAAACACTAAACACAAATCACCCACTCTCTTCCAGCAGCCGCTTGTTTGTAGTGAGACCTCAGACTAGTCCATCATTGACGGCTGCAGGGTGATGCAGCTCAAGGAAGAACATTTTAGAGTTAAGGTGGTGTTATATCCCAGGAAGACACACACATCAAGCAGCTAGTAGGCCACAAAAAAAAATTTAAAATGGGCCTTTAGCTTACAGCTCTGTCAGAAAGTGTTGATCCCCAAAACCAGGTTTCACACACTGAAATGTAACACAGTCACTTGGACAGTCAATGATTTCACCGACACTGGTCACCTGACTCGACAGTTCCCTTAGTGAAACATTTTACTATCTCTAAGATCACTGTTTTGGTTTCTCAACCCGCAACCTCAGCGTTTCACTCTTCACTGCCATCAAACCTGTTTCCAGTCACAGCAGGTAAGAGTTTAATGAAAAGAGAAAAAAAAACACACACACACGCACGCACACACACACAAACCTTTCCCAACAAGACTTTGTGGGGCTAAGTCAGAGAGAGAACAGTGGAGCATTCTACAGCATTGGAAAATAATGTTTTACATTAAAGGCAAACTTCTGTGTTTTTAAACCTGGGCTCTATTTTCACATGTGTTTGTGTGTGTGCTCCACTGATGAGGGGAACAATTTCTCAAAGTGGCCCAGTATTGTGGGAGAGCGGAGCAGCTGGCAGCCGTGAAATGAACTAAAATTTATTTGACTAGTCAATCGCATCCTCAAGCTGTGTCCACTACAAGTGCTTTATTTTATCACTGACAGGCTGAGATTTTTATTTCAAGTCCTAAGAATAGAGGATGCCCAGAATGGCAAGGGTTTCCCCACTTCTACCAGTCTGTGTGCAACCAAATCTCGCTGAAGTCTCACGAGATCTCACTTGTTGCAGAAAGACAAGACAATGGTGGACAAGTGAGTGAGTGACACCGGGAGAGTCGGAGACCAGCACAAGTGGAAGGTGAGGGAACTGTACCTTTACTTGAGCAGAAAGCAATCTTTGTTTGGCAGCTACATTAAAGCAAATCTTAGTTATAGTCTTTTGAAGAAGATGTATTAGTGACTTATTTGTCTTTTTTTCCCTCTAGAGTTTAAATAGTCTAGTCAGCACGCACTCAAATCATTTATCCTGATTTTTAGATATAATCTTTACCGGCCCAATTAGCCAATTAACCTTTAAAGCATCATTTCACTCTCTAACTTTATCGGTGTAATAGCAGGATTCTTTACTTTGGCTGAATAATTTCGCCTAAACTCGCCAACATCACAGTGCAACTGGGCTGTCCCTACGACAGGTTTTGTCAAGGCCTGACTCTGATCCACTTTGCTGTAATCATTAACTCTGCTGCGAGTACAACTAATGGAGGCAAACAACATCTGGACTCACTAAAGCACTATTAGCAGCTCACTTATAATTGGTCCTGACCCCTTATTCTGAAAGGTCATTGGTCAGAAAAGGTTGGGTAGTTTAGGAACAGGAAAATTAACTTCCTGTTATTCAATGATAATGAGCGCATTAGGTGTAAAGTTAACTAAGGGTCATTACAAAGAGAGGAGGTGACACGCACACAGCTGCATGGATTTTGCAGAAAAAAGTCCCTTGAATTCATTCAAATAGGAAACAGCTCTAAGTGAAAAAGCAGTATGTAAGTGTGTAGTTATTTTTCAGTATGACCGTCCTTTCTTTACACCTATTAAATAAAGCCACATGAGAACGAATACTGCAAGCAGCCTGCAAATTAAATCTGAATGTTGGCTTTCATTCCAGTTTCATTGCACTGTAATGCCTCTGAAGGTGAAATACCTTCTCAGGAATCCTTTCATCATTATTGGATGCCCGATTTTTGTTCTCACATCCAAAATACATAAACTTTGACTGTAATCTTTGAAGCTTTATGCTGCCTGCAGCGATTGGAAAATGTCTCACTGAGGCGACTGGTCCCGTACGGAGACAGAAAGAGCCCGAGGCTGGCTGCTCTGCTTCTAACTAACTCCATATGGTGCAGGTCTGGACATCCAACTGACTTCTAAGACTGTTGCAGACTGGTGCAACGTAAACTTAGCATCTCATCTGTGCAGGGGCCATGGGCAAACCCCCCTCCCTGCTGCTCTAAGGAGAAGCATCTGTCCCCCATCGCTTTCAATATCCACCTCGCCCATCGCCGAAGGCTCTGACATTGACGTGGCTTACATCAGAAATCCGAGACAGCTCAAAGAATTCACCATTTATTCAAGTTTATACACATCAGACAGGAATTATCCTAAAGAATCAGAGAGGCCGTAAGTTTTAATAACTGCTGCTTAAGAATTTAGACAAGCGGGACAGAAAGACTTCCCTTCTCAGGTTTTTGTCAAAGTCTGAGACACTTGGATCCTTCTTTCTGTGAGAAATTGTCTTTGAGAACTCTCCACTGAGCAAGATGGTGAAAGGAGCTGCTGGCATTGGTGAATGAGCAGAGTAAGAAAGAGTACAACAGGTAACAAGGACCTACTGCTGAGAGACAGATGGCTGAGCTGCACAATGAGAGGCCCGTACACTAACGGGAAGCTCTGTGTGTCTAAATGTGAACGAGTGGGACTGTCTTTTCTTCGCCCCATATCGATTTGTCCAATGAGCGGTCGGGGAACGTCTCATGAATGACGGTTTCTCAGAACAGTTACTGACATTTCATTGGAGGGGAACTCATCCTTCCCTTTATAATGAGCCATGTGAATGTGGCTGGAAGCATAAGAAGAAGAATACATATGTACATGAATGCATGATTCAGTGGTGTCACAGTTAGGTTAATAAGTAAAAGTATGAAAAAAACATCTAATGGATCATTTTACTGTAACCAGATAATTTACAATTATCAATTGATTCGGTTTTTTCTATTTAAACATAAAAATGGTTTACGCTGTTGTTTAAGACACATCTTTATATCTTTTTTGTTGTTTTCACAGGTGTGGATTATGAACCTGTATCAACTGCAGAAAGGGGTACTCTATAGCAGACATTGGACCAAGTCACACATGTCCAAGTCTCAAGTCTTAACCTTCAATCTCAAGTAAGTCATTTTTTCTTAGGCAGGTCAAGTCAAGTCCTGTAATAGGTCAAGTCCAAGTCAAGTTGCCTTATTACGTGCACAATCTGATCTTGATAAAGTGAAAAGACAGGATATTAGTAATTGTCAATTATTGGCCATTTATCCATTGCATTGTAATTACTGATATTCATATTTTGCCTAACTCCACAAGGCACAAAATGATAGTACTAGAAAGTGCTACAGAGGCTATATATTGTTGACTCGGCTGAATTCAATGGGAAAAGTTATGCAGAAAGACACTTCCAAGAAACAGATGTCTACACATGTGTGCAAACTTTTTGAAAACATAGTTCTTGCTTTGCATTTGGCATTTTGTTCACACATTAATGCAGTTTTAGGTCCCTAAAAATGAAGACAGCTTTGAAGGTGGGAGGGTTTTTTTTTTCAACAGAGGATGGCAAAAACAGAAGCTTTGGAAATCCTCACTTAGTTGAGCACTACAGTCATTGTTTGTATGGATTGCACATGCCCCAAAGTAGCAGGTAAACCACAGCACAGACACCAGTACACATATCTCGCTTAGTATACCTTAATCTGCCGCTTCATACACAGTTTAGAGTATGCGGTTTACAGTAGCAGCTCACTCAAGAAGACTCTATATACGCATGAACACAATGCTCTTTGAAGGTTTTCTGACGTGACAGACTGATTATACATTATCGACATGGGCCATGCTTATATGAGCGTTTTCAATAGTTGCTGTGCAGCCGTGCAGACAGAGAAATATTCAAAAACACCTCTGGTGTGGACAACTTTTGAAAGTGAAGAGAAATTACAATCTGTTTTTAAAAATATTCACGTAGGTGTACTGCTGTGACATATTCCAGACTTTTGTTGGTAATAAGACTGTAAATAAATATTTCTATATTTTCTACATTTTTAAAGTTCCTATGAGGATTTCTTTGTGAATTAAACAGACTGAAATTCATATTGCTTCATCTTTATGCTAAACAGGACTGTAGTCTGACTGTGTGTAGGCCTCTAAAATCACCTGAGCTCTTATTTGTGTCGTTGCTGCATTGCTAGAGGATCCTGAAGGTTAGTGATTTTGTTACTGTTAGTTTGTCGTGACAGCAAAACAGAGTCTAGACAAAAGCCCATCAGCTGGTTCTGAACCTGACATTTAGTGCAGATGTTTTTAGTTTAAATTGCTGTGCTATCAAACGCCATCAAAAAAACTGCATTGGAAATATGTCTGACATGACATCATGTCATCTAACTTATCCGTGGGAACAGTTCAAAACCAGACGGCTCAAAAATGCCAAGAACATTACAAACAGCTGTTTGAAAACTGTAGCAGAGCAAAAATAACTGTAACCGAATGTTAGAAACTAGCCATGCTTTCATTTCAATCCTGTTTTCTGTCATTTTTTAAACTTTGCAGCTGATCACAGATGCCATCAACAATACGCAACAACTGACCGCAGGCAACGACATGAGAGCAACAGACCTGTGATGCTCTTTCTCATCTGCACGGTGATTATTTCGAGAGAACATGAGTACTAGTCAAGCATGCTGGCGTAGCATGGATGAATCAGAGAGGATCTCAGATTGCAGAGCTCCAGCCGCTGTAATTGATAGTCAAACCACCACCCCCCCCTTTGGGAGAAAATCTACAGCAAAGAGTCAAACCACATCCAGCCTGGACCTCTGCCAGCAAATTATTCATTGCTTGAGCTATCTGGGCCAACACAGAATCATATGGATTACACACTCACACACACACACGCCCACTAACACACACACACACTTGCATGCTGGTGCCCTATCAGGGGCAGACTGAGCTATTTTCTGGAAGGGAACTTGTTGGCTCTGGTGGCTCTCCACACTAAATAGCGAGGCTAACCAGTGTTTGCTTTGTGGAAATCCCTTTGGCGTTTGCAGAGTGAGATGGGGCGTACGGCTCACACAAGCCTGTTGCCCTCCTCTGTGCGGTCACATGCTGCATGTCATGTGTTGGAGGCAGTTTTTTGAGGAAAAACATCAAATAACTGCTGCTTGGATGATTTACTGTACATAAACTACTCATCAACTAAAGGAACAGAAAAAATGATTACTCAGTAAGGTTGGAAGATGATGAAGAATCATCTTTAGACCAGGCTTTTACTTTGAAAGGAGAACTTTACTAACCTCTGTCAAGAGCAATCACCCTGATCTGATGCTGTAACTTTTTCTAAAGTCTCCAGGTTCAACTAATTTCAAAGAGGCAAAAACTACTTTGGTTGTGATGAAGAAAAAACTCATTTTATTGGAACTGTTGTTTGATTTTGCAGTCAAGATAAAACACTTTTGCTTTCACCCCATTAAACACATACTCCATTTTGTTGGAGTATGTGTTTTATGTTTTATGGTTAATAGTGTGTAAACATTTCTGCAGCAGGTGAGCAGGGGGGCTGAATTATGAAGCAAAAAATCCTTGATCATAGTTTACAGGTGGAATTCATCCCTATGTTCAGGATCCTGTTTTTTCTTTCACTTTGAGAAATGCAAAGGCTATTTTTGGAATTTAACATGCAAATGGACTTTAAAAAGGCTGAATAAAGAAGAATAATGTTATAATAATAATAGATTTTATTTGTAACGCTCTTTACATTTGAAAACAATCTCAAAGTGCACAACAAAAACAGAAAAAAACAAAAAACAAAACAATAACAGTAAAATCAAGCAACAGGGCAAAACAATAAAAACAGTCAGCAGATAAAATCAGATAAAATTAGTCTGGGTAGGCTTTCAGAAAAAGGAAGGTTTTGAGTCCTTTTTTAAAAGCATCCACCGACTGTGGAGCCCTGAGGTGGGATGAAAGCACTGTATTAAATTAACGTGATTTCTCTGTAGTTAGGAATCTTAGATATGAAGCTAAAAGCAGTTACTAAACTTTGACATGTTCAAGTTTGGGCTCAAAACACTGGATTTATTTCAAGGAATTTTATTTTGGTCGTCATGTAACATACCCGGCAACATACAATGTTCATCAGGTGCATGAAAATCAGGTACTCGAAGAAGAAATAAATAAAAATGGATACATAAATAGTGTTATAGTGTTATTCAATTAATATAAAGGTTGGCAAATACGTCGTAGTTAAGAGGTTAAATATTCAAAAGTCCAACAAAACAGTTTAATGTTGATATGAAAACGATCAATAACCTGTTAAAAATGCCAGATAGATTAAATCTAAATGGCGGAGGCAGAACCACAAACTTATACAAACTTGAAGCACAACTTAAAGTGGAACAATAAGAATACGTACCTTAAGACATTCACTTTTTTGTCGTACTACTTGTCATCCAGTATCAGAAATGATTGTTCCAGGAACATGACAGATGATGTTAATGAAGGTTTACTTTAGCTCACCTTTTAGAAATGTAAAGAACCACTGGACCAGAGGTTGTTATTCTCCCTGACCTGTGATCCACGGAGGATTGGGGGCTTTCCCCTCTCAGGATTCGACCCGGCAACCTGCAGGCCTAAAGTGAAAGCTCAGCCAGAGTTGGGGTCTGGGCCTCTTATCATCTGGTTTCTATTCTCCCCGCCCTGTCCAATGAAATCTGACCTGCTTTAAAGGAGAACTGAATTATGGGCCCATCAATAAATACCATATTTCCCCCTTTGAAGTTGCATACGTGATGGAAAGTGGTAAGATGTCATGTGTTAAAGTTATTACCTAATTCCAGCACGTTAATCTACTGTGCTTGATGTTCCTGACTTTTGAAGACTGTTGTGGCTTTATCTATTCTGACAGCAGCCAGACTGAACGCTTTTTTCACTTTGCCCAAACGTCAGGACTATTTTCAATCTCCCCTCGACTTTATATGACCCCTGCAGAGGTAACCTTGCAGGAAGAGGGAGAGAGGTGGGTGCATTACAGAGAAAGATTGCCTTTGAATGTTTCGTGACAATGGTGGATAATTTTACCAGCTGGTGAATAGTCTGCTCTTGAGTCATTTGGAAGTGCCTATAAAGCCGTCTATGTGTAATCTTCCTGCCTCCTACTCTTTAATTGAGCCTCTCACGGAACAAGATGCTTTTGTTAAGGAAGAGATACGTAGCCTTAAGGACTCTCTGATGAACCAGCAAAAAAGACAAGACACGGGGAGAAGGTCTACACTCACAACTAGCTCTTTATAAGCTCTTTCTGAATAAGTCGCCTTAAGCACCGGGCTTTTGTTGTATATTTATAGCAGCTTAAACAAGGGAAAGAGGAAAAGATTTGCCGATTGTGGCTTTTATTGAAAACCACTGTTTTAAAGCTACTGTAGAGAGCTTTTCGTGTTGATTGTGACGCCCCCTCTGGATGAAGCTGTACATCCTAGCTTTTTTATGCTCTTGGCCTACAGATGAGTGCATATTCTAATGGGGCATTCACAGCAAGTGCGAGTAAAATCATCTACTCGCTTAATTCGTGCGAATCTAGGCGCGTGAATGAATAGTATTTACTCACTTTATGCGCGCGTCAATGGTAATTTTAACGGTAGTCCCTGCCGATTCAACCAGCAGGATCAAGTGATAGACGAAGGTTTTTCACAATTTACCAGATAATCCAATAACCTCACTCGCTGCCCTCCAGACGAGCTTCTTTTTATTCTGGTTTCGGTAATTGAAAGAAAAGGCATCATATAATTCAGCACAACCACACACTGACGCGATCAGTTTGTCCTCCATTTTAGATACCAATGAACAACCGTTTGTTTTAATATGTCACCCGGCAACCTTCGTGTTGATTCGTTATCGCGGCTCGAATATCTGCTCAAGTTGAGGCCAGAGTATTAAGAGCATCTAATTGTGTCTTTGCATTGACTTAACATGTAGTTCATTCAGGCAAATGATTTTACTTACGCTTGGTGTGTGGAGACTGTTAGACTATAAAATATTCTTGCAGTCTTTGAACTCCAGGCCTACTTACTTGCAGCTCATATGCTTTATTTTGTTATTTTCATTTTTAAAAATGTTCAAAAAAAAATCAAAGCAACAGCACATCCAACGATAGATTAACAGAAATGATTAAAAAACAACAACAACAAAAACATACTATCCACCAAGTCTTCAATACAGTGACCTTTGGATTTGACCAAGGCCCTGTAAAGGACTGTAACAAGTGTATGACCTGGTTGTTACCTGCACATGCTCAGTGTTGATGAAGACCTCAAGTTTAGAAGGCGGCCTCTCTGACAGGTCACTGAGATCTGAGGTTATTTCTGCAGAAACAGCTGCCTGGGATAATGAGGAGCAGCACTCGTGCCATCCTGGATGTTCGGAGAATCCCGCAACCATTAAAAGGCTTGTCGTGAAAAGAGAAGAGAGACAAAGGAGGATGAAATTTCTGCAAAATTAACAAGTCTATTTCATATGACTGTAATTAACAGGTAAAAATTTTAGCAAGAGCCCTTCAAAGTAATAAAGAAATATCCTTTTTCCTTAAGTACAGCTGGCTCTATGTCTTATATGTCTGCATATTTGCAGTGGTGATCATGCATGCACCTTATATAGTTAAGGCATGCCACACTTCTTAAGTGTTGTCCTTACACCACAAAGCATCTGTTGACATAGTCATTGTGTCATTTCAGCGGCGCATTGGAGTAGGTGTGAAGATGTTGTCGCTGATATTCATTACACGCCGGCGCACTGGCCCATCAAAGCCCTCCATTGTCAATGGGATCAAGCCAAAGCAGGTTAAAGCTTTCCACAGAGACACCTGCGGTTTGCTCTTCCTCTGCACAATCTGAGCACAAACTTCTGCTGCACCACTTTCTCTTTGCACAAGCGCTGGGACAGCAGGCCAACCAATATTTTCTCATAGAATTAGATTTGCACACAGTGGTTGGTGGGGAAAACATTCAGATCTGATTATCCAAACTTACAGACCTCAGAGCTTCCAAAATGAAAAAAAATCAGGCAACATTGCATCTTCAAAATCATACATTAGCACATGACCAAAATATCAGTTTTCACACAGATATTGATGTGCTGTTTGAAAACTTACCCTTATTGAAAACCACATGAAAGAAACCAAGAGGAAGTGGAGTTGGTGATCAGAGAGATAGTGGTCAGTCAGATTCAGAGGTCTTTTAACTCCATGTGTTGAAAAGCCTCCAGGGTCTGCCCTGTCCAGAGCAGGTTGTGACCCTGCAGGACGGGGCAGCTGCTGCAGAATGATGTTTCTGTTGAGAGAAACTGCTGAGCCATCAGAGAGCACGGGAAGCGGCCCGAGGACCTTTGACAGGCTCAGATCAATCAGCCAACACAACCAGAGCCTCAGGGGACAGCACATCTGAGATCATCCCATCATCACCAGCAAAGGTCACAGATTCAGTATGTCTTCTAAAACTCAATGAACCGTTTTTAATCTCTCAGAGAGGAACTGGTTTGAGCAGTCACATTTTATCATGGCTGATTGACTGAGACTATTCTTCTTCCGGGGTTTGATTCCAGCCAAGGTGTCCTTGGGTAAGACACTTGATCCCACCCGCCCCCCCGGTTGGTTATACCGCACAACACTGCCCCCACAATCTCCAGCAGCACTGCAATGTTTAGTTTGCAATATGGCTGTTAAGATGTCAGTTTTTCACCTCATGGTCACTGTGGCCGTAAAATATCACAATAGCATGATTGTATTGATATCCCTGAAAAAACACAGTAAGTCAATTTAGGGAAAACTACATAAAGAAGTTTTTTAAATATGATTATGTTTGAGGGATCCAAAAGAAACTCATGTAAATGCAGTCCAGTAAGATATCAGTAACTTCTGCCTTAGCTTCTGAGTTTGTTGACAGTGTATCAAGCCTGTTGCTGAACTTAATGTATGTATCATGTTCAACAACAAGAGAGAATTACATGGATCAAACCAGGATTTTTTAGAACAATAGTTCATGTTCTTCATCTTAATAGAGATAACCTATGGGGCTCAGAGTACATTTTCTCTTTTTTAAGGGGAGCAATGTAATCGGACTTATGAGATAAAGTATTTTTGTTTTCTTAACCAAACTGGTTCTCTTGGGTGCTACACTGTGGAAAAACAGCCAAGAAACAACTGAAATCAAATCTGCACGGCCGATCTTGACCTGTTGATTTATGGGTTTTACCTTGAACCTCATATTGTTATTCTTTGTGGAGAAACACAAAAGATTATTTGACGATACTTTGGGATTTGAGAGAGGTCAAACTCTAGAAAGTCTGCAGCAGGTCAGGGTGAAAAAGCCAGGAGATTTAGCAGGAGTTTTGTTTTGGACTCAATGCAGGAACGTGACTCCCTCCCTCCATTCCTTTCAGCCCAATTATCAAAACTGTTCCCTCCTCGGGGGCCTGAACAACAGGCAGCAGGCTTCAACTTGTGCAGGGGTCTTATAACTCTGGTCCAACCAGAGGAAAAAAAGGCGTTTCTCTAAGACATAGAGAAAAGACTCTCTACCTTGTGTCTTTCTTTTAGTGCACCCCAGTTCTGATAAAGTTTTCACATTATAATATGATGGCGGTTTTAAGCTTTTTGTATGATTGTAGATATAAAACAGCCCTCTTTTTACCATTTTATAAAAAAGTAAGATCCGTTTCATTTCTTGATTGTGAAACTTGGACTTAAAACCGACAGAAAGACAGAGAAAGGAGGGTGAGAAAAAAAGAGAGAAAGTAGATATGTAGGTATTCATTTCCCTTCAACATGCGCCTCCTCCCTCCATCCATCTCTATCTGTCTCCTGTCCGCCCAGACTGTCTCCTTCTGTACTTCGCAGAGAAAGTATCGAATACCGTGGACAGATTTGTCTGTCCTAAAAGACTGCTGACACCTGTCTAGAGCTCATTTAAAACTTTTACTGGCCCATTTCTCCAGGGCACACACATGCAGAGAGGCTGGGGCGTCTAGAGAGTGCTTCCTACTTAACCCCATGATGAAAACAGGGCAGGCGTCTTCTATGCACCATTTGACTCCTACGCATCTGATTTTGAAGGAAGAGGAAATCTTTTACAAACTTTGATAGCTGCATTTTACATGGATTAAGATTTATAGCTCCTCATTAATGTAGTTTTAAGGTGTTTAAATGCACTGATTTTTCTAATGGATCTATAATATTGTGGATTTGGCAAAAATCAGAGGTAATGATGCATATTCACATCTTTGAAGTTGCTCTGATTGGTCTAAAGGGAGATGAGTTGCTGCTTCATTTGCCAGTTCATGTCCCACACATTCTCTCATCATGAGTCAGCCCAGACCAAAATGACACGCTTACTTTTATCTATGTATATTCTCCAGTGTTGTGACTGGCATGTTTCTAAGCAACAAATTACTGTAACTCTACTAATGTTTGCTGTAACTATAAGTGTAGTTGGTTTTCAGATTCAAAAGCAGCTTTAAAATAACAGAAATTAAAATCACAGACAGCTAAATAAGGTTAACCCTCTGACTTGTTGGGAAAATTGTGCTTAAGTTTGCACAGCAGCATCCAGGAGAAAGAATATTACATGCAGTACATAAGAAATAATGGCCAATGATCATTTAAATGTGAGATGATCCACATTATATTTAAAAATAAGACAAAAACGGAACAAAGAAAAGAAAAGGCAAGAGTAATAGAAAGAAAATGTTAAAATAAATAAATAAACGAAGATATCACATGAAAGCAAGTTTGTAAAAATTAGTTTCAAGAAGTAATTTAAAGGATATTCTGTATGTCTTATCTCCTGGAGGATATAAGGCTGCGTGATGGCTCATAGGGCGTTAAAATTTCAGATAATATGAACATGTAAATGAAGCCCACAACAGCTTTAAAAGTGATTAGTGAAAAATTAAAATATTTTCTTAAACTAGCAGAAAGGTAAGTGTAGGGACACTAAGATAGGATTTATGTGATGTCCTTAGAAGTCTAGCCGCTGTATTTAAAAGTCAGAGGTGTGAGAGTGTTTTTTCTGGTTTACACTACTGAGGACAGAGCAACAGGAATCCAAGTTCACCTTAGCTTGGCAGACTCAGCTAGACTTTAAATATAACTGATAACTATTCTTCTCTACGCTGATCAAATTTTGCATCCATCATGCAGACTGCGCAAAGACGTCACTCTGCAAATAAAACCGATTTTTTTTTATTCATGCATGACAGTAGTTGTACACACACTCACAGAGCAGTCACAGGGGATGAAATACAGAAACAAATCTGTGAATCAAACCAATAAATACCACAACATGACTTGACAAGTGAGACATGAGGGCAGGAGGCTGTTTTGCCAAAGGATATCGGAAACACACATTCCAAAGTGTCTCAATTAGGTTTTTGTCTTCATATCAATTTACCGTCATGTTAGCTTTCAGCACTTACACGCTGACACTCATTATTCTCTGGTTTTTCATTAAACTGCTTTCCCCTTACACCACTAAAACATTTGCTGAAATGCGACATGCTGATTTTTCTGGTAAATCAACACGAAGTTATGTAAGTAAGCTGCTTTGCCGCTGCTGCTGCGTGACTCCATGCAAGTGGTGCATGCTCTGCATTGGAGCAAAACTCCTCAAATATAAATGAAGTATTTAGTGTGAGTATGTGGACCCCTGTGGCTTCCTAATACCCTCCTTTCAATCCTTTTTTTGTGATCTAATCAAAGTTCCCAACTCACCAGGGTTCGGAGGAGGGATTGGAGTGGGGAGGGTGGAGGGTCCCTTGTGTTGGACAGCTTACTGCAATTAAAATTTATTTAAGGCTTACAAGGAATCCTTTCACTCCTGAATAAATCAGAGTGAATTCCTCTGACTCTGACGAGGTTTTCCCTCCCTATAATTATCCTCTACTCGACGAGCGCTGAGAGAGCAGCTCCCCTCTAACCCCCCCTGCATTACCTCAAAGCCTTACACTTGTAATTAAATCATAAAATAACGACAACTGCAAATTCAGAGTTTGCAAAACGAGTGCCATAGGGCTGTGATTTGAGGAAACAGGTGCATACCAGATGACTTCATTGATGTGATTTTGTAAGCCTACATCATATATCATGTTTTTATTGCCTGAGCTTTCAGCCCTAAACTCTGAGACCTGAGGCTACAGCCCAGAGCGGTGCTGCCGACCTGAGGAGTGTCACTGTGTAATGTGACACACTTCAGGAGATTACAAGTTTCAACAGGTTAACAGAAACACACCGATTCCTTGAGTGAAGCTACAGAGAGCAGCTTTTATCCCACCTCGTCTCAGACTCTGGCTTTTGTTTTAAAATTTCTATATTGTACTTGTGCTGGAAAATGTAAAGAGCTGCAGAAAGTTTACAGAACAGCCCTTTATGGAGGTTGTAACCTGATCTGCTGTTTTATATTTGGGCTCTAAGTGAACAAAACTACAGCTAAACTTTCTGATGTGTTTATTTCAAGTTTTAGATGTTAAACAAAGCAAAATCTCCTCATTGTTGTGCTTTTATTTTGAAATGTTAAAAAAAGTATTGTATTTCCCCATCAAATATACTATCCTTGTCCACTTTTGTGCAACACCATGTCTCTTTACAAAGCTTCAAATGCTGCATCAAAGTCTTTCTCTGTTTGTGTACAGCATCTCCTTACATTTAATCAGCTCTGTGGGCTTATCTAATACTCCTTGTCCTTTGAAATGTTTTCACTATTTCTCTCTGATTGCTTTGCCCTCGTGACCGAGTGTTGAATTAAATGCCTAATTTAACATGGGCCCTTTGTTAGCCGCCTCTTTGTTGTGCAGCTCTTTCTGGTAGTGCAGCAGGGGCCATGCTGTTGTTGACGTCCGGGGACCGCTCACTCCGCTCGCATTGTGCCTCAGTGACAGCGTGTCCTTGGGCAAGGCAGCAGGGCTGTCAGGTCTCTCTGTCACACTTCTCTGCAGGCAGGACAAGGCCAGCCCACAGCACAGCCAGGGGTCCTACAGACCCTGGGCAGCACTACTAATCTCCAAGGATGCCTCCCTCGGTTGTTTAGCAACCAAGTTTGCCTGACAGCGTTGTTGGTTTGTGTTTGGCTGCTGTGTGGTAGAGCGCTGGATTTGTGTGTGTGTGTGTGTTGGGGGGGTGTTACAGCCGAACTAACCAAACAACATGATGGGCACTTTTGTTGCCTCACCAAAGAGGAGGAGCAACCAGGGAGCTCACTGTGTGTCCTTTCATGGCTCCAAGTCATGAGAAGTGCAAGCGAACACACACACACACTCACACAAAAGCACAATGTAGCATACCGAACAAGTGTCACAAAAACTTACTTATGTTTCCTCAGTTTTATAAAAATCTAACAGTTATCTGTCAGAATTTGATTTTCATATATTCTCAATTTTTTTTGTTTGTTTGTTTTTACAGATTTTGTAACTGAATAATCCATTAATGTGCTGTTTTCGGTTGAATGTTTAGTCAAATGTGGAATACTGTCTTTGTAACCGAACATCTGAAATAATAAAAAAATGTCTTGCAAAGTCTCCACAGACACAAGCTAGATTTGTTTTATCTACATTCAAACTCCATAGTCTCGCAGATGAGTGTGAAGATCATGTAAGAAACAACAAACGAGAACAGCTACTAAAAACACAGAGCTGAAATTGCAGAGTTGATTCACTTTCATTGTCAAATGTTTGGATTTTTGTGCTGCTATCATGAGTGGGTACACTTTGTATATAGAGTTTTTTTTTCTTGTACTTATGTGTGTTTAAAGTTTTACAATTATATTCTTTTTTTGTTGTGCTGCCCCCTAATTTCAATTTATCAAAATGATGTGATTTATACTTTCAGAGGTTTGTGCATTGTGTTTCATTTTGAAATTTACCTCCATATGCTCTTCGTCTTTCCAATGTTTGACTCTTTGTCGGGGTCGATGTGTGCCAGATTTGGGGTTTGTGAAAATATCCTTGGGGAAAGCTTCTGGGACGGATCTGAGACATGCTGTGGTAACTCTCTCTCTCTCTCTCTCTCTCTCTCTCTCTATCTCTATCTCTCTCTGTCTGTCTCTGTCTTTCTCTTTCTAAAAAGTGCTTTTGAGACTTTAGACATTGTTTCTCCAGTTTGGACATGACACTCTACTCATAAGGATGAGCCTTACTGTATGCATGGTGCATCCAAACACTGAGTCAACTTAAGTACAAATTAACAACTTTCAGATGTGGTTTTAGTGTGAACTTTACCCTCTAACTTTAAAACAACCTTAGGCATCGAGAAACTTTTTCATTTCAGTGTTTTTGATTGGTCTTAAAATAAAAAGATTGATGTTTTCCTGCAGGTAAGATCTTTGTAACATCTACATGCTGTTTTAAGAGGGAAAACTCTGTTCAGAATTGTTGGAACTATCGAAGCAGTTACTCATAATCTAAGATCCGCTTTATTGGTTCAATTTTCTGTTTTGAATCATGCCACTCCCTCACACCAAAACGGCATAAAGATAACACATCCAAAACACATAATTCTTTGGGCTTCCTCATCCAAAGCTAAAGAAACAAACAAAACAAGAAGCAAAACAAAATGTTTACTTTAAATATTTTCTCTAGATGAGCTCAAGCAGCTGATATATGTCCCTGTGCGATTATTGAAGTTTGATAGAGACTTTTGAAAGTAGTATCTTGGTTTTCTCTGGGTTCAGGTTTCTAAACACTCCATTGGTTACAGTATTTAAAAGCCACAGACTGTTGGCAAGGACTGACTGAGGCGGCTTCCTCCTTCTTTCATCTCCCCTCTAATCTTCTGTTTGCACAGCTCTCCGTCTTGTCAGCGGAGTTTGTTTAGGTTTTATGCCCGTCAATACAGCTGTATTCCTCCGTCTCAACGTATCACCCACATCTGAAAAGATCATCAGTGATAGATTTGTAGGCAGAACATTTCCTCAGCCGCAATCCCGGGCTTTGTGTGGAAAACGATTAAGGCTAACGGAGTCTTTCACCGTAAATGGCGGCAAAGAAAACATCTTTGTGCTGCTGAAAGTCAGCCACTTCACTTTCTTTTCATCACCAAACAATCAAGATCATGTAGGTGTAGACTGCTGTGTTTTCCCTCTTTTTATGTTTTGCAAATTTTACATGCACCTTTTACATGCATGGTTTCCTGGTTTCTCATTAGTAGAGTTTGATTAACTGATCATGCTGCATATACACTCACCGGCCACTTTATTAGGTACACCTGTCCAACTGCTCGTTAACACTTAATTTCTAATCAGCCAATCACATGGCGGCAACTTAGTGCATTTAGGCATGTAGACATGGTCAAGACAATCTCCTGCAGTTCAAACCGAGCATCAGTATGGGGAAGAAAGGTGATTTGAGTGACTTTGAACGTGGCATGGTTGTTGGTGCCAGAAGGGCTGGTCTGAGTATTTCAGAAACTGCTGATCTACTGGGATTTTCACGCACAACCATCTCTAGGGTTTACAGAGAATGGTCCGAAAAAGAAAATATCCAGTGAGCGGCAGTTCTGTGGGCGGAAATGCCTTGTTGATGCCAGAGGTCAGAGGAGAATGGCCAGACTGGTTCGAGCTGATAGAAAGGCAACAGTGACTCAAATAACCACCCGTTACAACCAAGGTAGGCAGAAGAGCATCTCTGAACGTACAGTACGTCGAACTTTGAGGCAGATGGGCTACAGCAGCAGAAGACCACACGGGGTGCCACTCCTTTCAGCTAAGAACAGGAAACTGAGGCTACAATTTGCACAAGCTCATCGAAATTGGACAATAGAAGATTGGAAAAACGTTGCCTGGTCTGATGAGTCTCGATTTCTGCTGCGACATTCGGATGGTAGGGTCAGAATTTGGCGTCAACAACATGAAAGCATGGATCCATCCTGCCTTGTATCAACGGTTCAGGCTGGTGGTGGTGGTGTCATGGTGTGGGGAATATTTTCTTGGCACTCTTTGGGCCCCTTGGTACCAATTGAGCATCGTTGCAACGCCACAGCCTACCTGAGTATTGTTGCTGACCATGTCCATCCCTTTATGACCACAATGTACCCAACTTCTGATGGCTACTTTCAGCAGGATAATGCGCCATGTCATAAAGCTGGAATCATCTCAGACTGGTTTCTTGAACATGACAATGAGTTCACTGTACTCAAATGGCCTCCACAGTCACCAGATCTCAATCCAATAGAGCATCTTTGGGATGTGGTGGAACGGGAGATTCGCATCATGGATGTGCAGCCGACAAGTCTGTGGCAACTGTGTGATGCCATCATGTCAATATGGACTAAGCTCTCTGAGGAATGCTTCCAGCACCTTGTTGAATCTATGCCACGAAGAATTGAGGCAGTTCTGAAGGCAAAAGGGGGTCCAACCCGTTACTAGCATGGTGTACCTAATAAAGTGGCCGGTGAGTGTAGTTTACAGTTGATATTTTATTTTGATGCCAAGGAGAGTGCAAAGGTATTTTACTGGTGACACAGTTTTACCTCTTTTCTGCTAATCCAGAAGGAGATGCTCCAGGAGCCAGCAACAGAGCTGTGAGTCATGAAGTTACATTTCTTCGTTTTCACATAACTAATTAAAAATAAAAATAACTAATTAAAATAAAACCTATGTTTGTGCAGGTAATTTTGATTTTATAGTGAGACATGCTCTGTCTATTAAAACTGAGAAGACGGCTTTATGACCTTCACTTCATACAGTCATCAGGGGGAGCTTTGAAGTTTTGGCTTCACTTTGGGTGAGCTGTTAAGCTGTTCATGATTTTATATGGTCTGTAGTTTGTCCAGTGAAGAGCAATGGGATATTTGTGGTGTGTTATGTCCTACACTGTGTACATTTTTTTGCATAATATTGTCAAAAAAAGAATTTAAAAAATAAAAAAATAAATAAAATTTTCTTTTTCTACCCTTTGGTTCAGCCTCCCAGAGGAGATCAGACTGGCAACCTCTTTACCCTCTTTGAAACTTCTTTAAGAAACACATTTTTATTGATTTGCTTTTACAAGAGATGGTTTCTGAACATCTCTGTGCGTGTTTTAATCCTCTAGACACTGCTTTTATTCAAAGTTCAGGAATAGACATGATCTTGTATATTTGATCTCCATGAACATTTTGACCTTTTGTTTTAGTTAGTTTCGTACTTCTAAAACTATTATATTCTCTGTTATCTGTTGGTAGTTGTTGCTACTTTTGTTCCTTTTGTCAAAGTTGGTCTGTATAATTTTATTTTGTTTTTTTATCTTGCTTTTGTTAGTTTTTGCTCTTATGTTATCAAATATTTTTAATTTTTGTATCCTTTAACATTTCCCTTTTAATTTTATTTGTATAGCACTCTGTTTTGATATGTGATATTATTATTATTATTATTATTATTATTATTATTGTATATTTGTTTTATCAATTTTATCACTATAAAGTTCCTTGAATTGATGACCCTCAAAAGAATTATATATCAACTGTAAAAGTTCCAGTTAAGATCGGGTTTTTTGTCAGTCTATTACAGTACAGCTGACAAAATAGCATGTGATTCCTGGTTTGTTTACTCCAGTGTGAAATGTGAAAACTCCTGGAAAATTTAAACCCCTGTAAAGACAAAACAAAACAAACAGCTGACTCTTTCCAGATCATTGTTGCCCTCACTGCAGGAGAGCCACTGTTTCCCAACAGCCTTAATGCCAAGCGGAGCTGTCTGACTGCTCAAGTTTAACACAACCTTCACGGACATGAGGGTGATGATTGCATTTTGCATAATGTTTACCTTTTGATTTATAAACTGGATACATATAAAAACACAGAGGGACGGGGTGAAGGACATGAGGAGATGTATTCTGGCCTTGGTGTTATAAGAATTCCTGATGCTGCATGATTTTTATCTTCACTGGTTTAAATAAAAGCCAAGAAAAAAACACAAATATGAAATAAAGTCAAGTTTAATATGCATATACTTAAATAAACTCAGGAAAATGAATATTAAGATGCTGACTTTCCTCCTTCTCTGACCAGCCTTTCAGCTCAGCAGAGAGAAAGAGAGCGTTGTTTTCCTTCGACCTCTGCAGGCAGTGACTCACCCTGAAGGTGTTGCCAACAGACAGGGTTTGACAGTTTAATATTTATGCTGTCAATTCCAAAGACTAACCTCGGTAATTAGGGGAGGTGAGTCCGGACAGATGTGGACCGATCCACAAAAGGGCCTTTTGTGTAAACGCATGCAGCTACCTCTCCCATGACAACATTTAATAAACAGGCCCAGAGTCATTGGCAGCACCGCTCAGCGTGCGCGATGAGGTAACATGTCCTCATGTCATGATGTCACCACAGGGTGGGACGTCACGTCAGGCGGCATTAGAGCGAGACATCCTGTTGACTGCAGAGCCATTAGCGGCATTTCATTCATTTCATGACGGAAGATTATACAATCCAAACTCATTTATTCCAACTTAGCAACTCAATATTTTGCCAACAGCGGTTGTGTAAATACAAGCAGGTGTGTGTTGTGGTTACAGAGACTGGTCTGTGAGAGAGGAGTCACAGGTGCAATTCTGTCAACAGCAGCAAATCTGAGTGCAGACAGGACGCTGATCTACTGTAGCTGTTCTAATGTAAGCAAATAACAGAAGGCTTTGTGTACTTTCAGTTTAATGAGTATTTTAGACTTACATTTATCTCACCCTGGCTTGAAGGAGAAATTATGTCTGTGATTTTACCCGAACTTATCGCCAAATTTTACTCCCTTTTCTCCAGAAAATAATCTCAAAATCTTTGGATTTGTGGCAGACATACGTGTCTGTCTGTGCATGCACTAAAATCTGTAACCAAACAAAGACACCCTCTTCCCTAAACCTGAACCCAATCAGTCATTTTTACATAACAATATACTCTGAAGTTACGACGTGTTTTCCAGTCTGTTCCACACCTGGATAGCAGTTTGAAGCTCGTTTTGTTTTTGGATCATACCAAGCCAATCACAGGCAGATCAGAGGCACGCATCTTCCCATTTAAAGTGCAGAGCTTCTTTCTTGTTTGCTTATGAATTTTTAAAAATCTAATTACTTAAGATAAATGAATAGGCAGAGGCAGAAAGAGTGATGTCTCAGGTTCCTGTAAATTGTCTCATCTATGGTACATTTGGCGCAACTGGATAAAAAACACTTGATTTGTGTCAATTTTGGTGCCCCCCATTGACAAACACGTTCCTTCAATAACTTTGCCGATCTTTGCACACGTTCTGCTTGATGAAGACTTAATTTATCCAAATAGACTTTTAAAAAACTGGCAGCTTTTGCTCTTAAGCTATTCAGACTCTGTTTTTAGATTGTGTTCTTATCAAATAAGATGTTCTGTCTGAAGTTGTACGAAGAACTTTGCACATTTTGAGAGTAATGAGTCATTTAAACATGTTACTAGACAAATACAACCTCAATCTGCTGTAAAATTTCTGTGTTTGAAGCAATTTTGTCTCAAATCCTTTTTTTTATTTTGGGATCACAGCACTACCTTTAGATAAATAAAGCTTTTCCTGAGGGTACCAAAAATAAGATGACAAGGGAGGGACATGAACTAACACAGCGAGAGTTAGCAATCACATTTAATTGAATTTTGTTTTATTTTGTTTTTATTATTATTATTATCAAACCAATAATTATGCCTCTTCGAAAGGTCACCCTATGGTCGCTTTATACACTGCCACTTGTTGTTCCAGCCTCGAAAGCAAGCATCATGACTGTCTGCATGGTCATACTGCACACTAAATCATACATGAACATAAAGGTACACGGGGGTAGATAGCCTGCACTAACCGCTCTCTGACATTTACTCTAAGCTGTGGTCATTGGTCAGCCTCACCGCTCGGCTCTGGTTCTCCTCTGTAAGAACCGTCTGACCGCTGACTGTAACTCTGTTTTCCCTCCCAACACGTCAGGCACCACACACACACACACACACACACACACACACACACACACACACACACACACACACACACACACACACACACACACACACACACACACACACACACACACAGGCCACAAACTGCTGCTGGCCCACAGCAAACCACCAGGTAATTCATACATACAGCATCAATCATACTCGCTCCATGCTGAGTGAAACAAGGAAGTGAAAGTACCACTTTAAAAGTCCCTCATAAATACCGCTTCTACATCCTCTATAATATATTCAAACCTTTAATGTCTTTTGAAATAAATGTTATAAATTAGCTACATCTACATATTTTATAAGCTCAAGTTAAAGACCAAAGTCTGAATTTAAGATTGTTACACACACACACACAAAAAAAAACAAAACACATAGATCTTGGCTAACATAATCTATTAACAGAAAACCTCACATGTATTATATTAGCAATAATATAAAACAGAGATGAGTCTTCTTCTACTGCAAATTTTGAAAAAATCAACATCATGTATTTTATTTTTCCCTCTGTCAGCCCGCCTGGGCAGAGAGGAGTGTGAAGTTTCAGGTAGTTGCCATAAACACTCGAGCTTTATCGTTTTGGGGCAAACGCACAGCCAGGACCCGTTTTGTAGCACACTCTGGTTTTAATGAGAGATGACCTTGAGCCATTTATAGGCCATAAAGGACACCCTGTAGCAGCTTAAGTGCATCAGAGCCAGAGGTTTCAGGTGGAGGTTAAAGTGTGCAGCCAGTCAGGACAGAAGGCATGCAAGTGTGCAGGAGGGGATGCTTTTCGGACAAAGTTTGCTAAGCAGAAACGTATATACCAATCATATGTTAAGTCTCAGCTCTAGCAGAGGCTGTAAGTAACTCTGAATAATGTCCGCCATGTTTAAATGCTCTACTACCCAGATGTTAACCGTCACAGATGCTGGATGACATCTTATTGTGGGGCGCAGCAACAGTATACAGAAAATGGGGATTAAGTTTTATTTTAGCTGTATGTGATTAACCTGACATGTTACTGTTTAACAACTTGCAAAATAATTACTTCACCTACGTCTACCATTTGGAGGCTTGGTACTTATTAATAACACCATTTATAAGGCCGTTATGGTCCTATGGTCCGATCGACGCAAAAGAACGAAAAAAATCCATTCAGTATATCCGCAGCAAAAAGGCATAATAATCGACCAACCCGAACTCCAGAGTGTTCCGTGAATCCATCCAATCCCCTGTCTCCCCTGCTCCGCACCGTCCCGCCCATGGTCCCGCCTCCTCCCCACTACCCCTCTCACGAACATGTTGATTAGCTAGCTGCACAGCTACTGAAGCATAATGGAGCCGGAGAAGACGAACACTGAAACCAGGAGGCCGCTTCTGTTACCCTCCACATCGAAGGGAAGGAAACGTAAAAGTTTCGAGGAAAAGGCTGAAGTAAGGAAGAAATATGAGCGATACAGGTGCCAACGGAGAGTCTACATTGGAGAAACGTACGACCGGTGGAAAAAGCTGCAGAAGGATTTAGGACTGAAAACTGACACTGAGACAGACGAATTTCTGTTGAACAGATAATTACTTTGTTTACTACAGTGGGAGATGTCTGCTGAATTACTCTGGTTAGTCTGTGCCGATACTGGCTAATGACTGAACATTGTTGGTCGGAACGGGTAGGCTCTGTCAATAGATTTTAGCATAAGTTAGCCACGCATCTTTAGCATTGTAAACTGAGCTGGTGAAGACACGCTGAGAAATGTAAAGCCCCGCCCACAATCGGCTCTGCTCTGACCGGCTAGCAGTGGCGACGCCAGACCCGCTTTGCCCCGCTAATATATGGTTTTGATCGCGCTTTGAATCTGCGAATCCGACCCAGACATCCTGAGTTGTTTTCGAAGCTAGCTCTGCTGTTGATATTTTCTGCCGGCCGGCTTCTTGCTCTATCGGAGGGGGCGTGTTGTTAGGAGGTGACACAAGCTGGGGGGGGGCGGGATCTTGAAACACGGAGGGGAGGGGTGAGTGAAGGGGGGGCAGGCTACGTTTTTCAAATCTGTCTCAACATCAGAACTGGTTTTCAGATCATAGACCAAAGCTTTAAATATTGTAAAAAGGCGTCAACACGAAATTCTGTCTATTTCCTAAAGGTAAAAAAAACTCCTTACAGGAGCTTTAAACAACTGGGAAATCAATGGAAAACAAACTGAACAATTAATCTAGTTGCATGGATAATCTCTATTGGGCAATTACATGAATGGGAAATTTTCAGCATAAATCTTATGTGACGGTCACGGGACACAGCAGATCTACAGACATGCTGGAAAACATGGAGAAAACAGTGGGTGGGGGTTGTCCAAAATCACATGCATGGTCAAACCCGATGGTACAGGGGCCCTCCACCCAATGTAAAGTTTTGTTGTGCACACCCCGACATTGAGGCCTTGTTATTGAGCAATATGCTCCGCTTTGTTTGAGAGGGTCCACCCCCTTATGCTCTGCATGTGTTTTATCTCCTCTTTTACAAAGGAGGAGGCCCCGCAAACAGCCACCTTCACACCTCCCTCAGAAGATCCTCTGAATGAGCTCAAGCACCTCTCCATTCAGAAGTGGAAATATACTACATTAAAAAAAGGAAAAATCAGGGAAATGGAGAGTGTGCAGCTGTTTCTCCGCTCTGTGAAGAAGGAAAAAAGGTGTTCTACAAACTGAGAGCTTCATATGAAAGAGGAAAAAGCACAGCACTGTTCGGTTATAGGCCTTGAAATGTTTATAGGTTTTTCCGAGAGGGAGATTGAGGAGTGAAAGGGCTGACAATAGGCCCGAAAACACTCCAGCAGCTTGGAACCTTTATGAAAGTGCCAAATATGAATCACTGCAGTGCGGATGCCAGACAGGCCTTTCCTGTGTTGCTAAGAGAGCATCTCGGACTTGAACAGGCGGGGCGGCCAGAGGGGGGTTAAGTGTTTCAGATGGCTGTACGGTGCTGCACGGTAGATATGACTTGATGCTCCTGTTCCTGCCCTGCAGCTTGGGTGGTCCACTCTTGATTTTATACTGCCACCTATTAGCACCATGAGCCGGTGATTTATGCAGCTGTCAGCTTCGACTTCATCAGCCCGCTCAGCCGCTGGTGAATTGTGGGCAGGCTGGCAGAGCTTTTCCTCTCTGCACCTCCTACTTTGGGGCTAAAGTAAACCACCCCTGTGAGCAGAAAGACAGGGAAAAAATGCTGTTAAAGAGAAAATACAATTTAGATAAATAACAAGCATGCATGCCACTGAGGCCCTCCTCTGTGGAGAACTTCCAGCCCAAACATCTGGCTGGCTGCGTATGAGGAGGAGACTGTGTTTGAGTTAAAACAAGGTGAGAAAGGAGGAATTCATAGTTGGAGCAGCTAAACTGTGTGGGGATCAGTAAACGGCTACACAGAATTATTGAGGGCAAGTGTTGAGAGAAAGTGTTGTATAGCAGTAAATTTTCTTTAAATACATAACTATTAGACCTAATGCTAGGCCATTGTGCATGAGGACTGGATGTGTTAGGGGGGGAAATCTGTTGAAAATTAGTCAATTGGTGAGTTATTCCCCATTATGTTGTACAGTACAAAGTAATGGAAACTGTGGGTAACAGCTTTTATTCGCCGGTTAATGAAGAAGAAGGTGTTGTTCCCTGTGGGCAGAGCAAAGTAATGGGCTTTTATGTGGTCGTAATGAGGCTTCTAGATCCATGTAGGACTGGAGCTATGAGCCAATTTCAACAAACACAAGCTTTACAAGAAGGTGGACAGTCCTTATGGTTGATTTATGGTATGTAATTCTTTACCATAAGGAGTATATTAGTGACGAAAAACACTTCAGCCGCTACTGTGATGCTGAGGGCGCTGCGTTCAAGATCGAAATGCTGATCTGTGGAAGAGACACAGGGGTTTTAAAGTGTCAGGGGCTAATTGCTTTTACAGCAGTTGGAACACAGGAATGTTCAACTTTATTAAACACCTGTTAGAATAATACTTGTCAAAGCAAATTTGTGGTAAATGTCCTGTTGGATAGATCAGTGGAGAAAATCATGAGATGGAAGAGGTTTAAATCAGTGATCTTCAAAGTTATACCCATGAGGGTGCTACTGAAATTCACTGAGTATGTGGAAAATCTTTGGAGTCCTGGGATTTTTTTAAAATGCAAAAGCAGTGAGCAAAGGAGGAAAAGAGACCGAGTGTACTAAGATTTTGGAGTAATTCAGTATTGTCCACCAAGCCTGAGAAGTCACGACTCATGTTTCTGTGGAGATTTTGACTAGATGAGATTTGGACGGCCTCAAATCTTATCTAATCATCAGTCCCATTAATCACTGCTCATGCAATTAATGTCACCAAAACCAGATGTTATATACTGACAAAAAACACTGTTAGCAGGTAGCATGAAAACTAGTTAGCAGAAAAGTCTGGCCAGCTAAAATTTCAAGATAACTGAGTAAAACATGGGTTACTCAACAGTATAAAAAACTCTTACAGAATTCACTGCATATTAAAATGTCAAATTTATGTGTACTCGTTTGTAAGATAACACATACATATGTAATAAAGCAAAAGGGCACTTAAAGCTGCTCTGAAAGGAGACATAGACGTAAAGTTTTAGAGCCAGTGGTCTCAGAGGATTTATTGTCCATACAGGCCTACCATGTTGTCTGTTCAAACCATATTTCTGCTGCACAAACTGTCCAAAGAGAAAAATGACCCACAGCCACAAATCCTCCTAATTCTCTGTAGATTTGGTTTTGATCCTCGTTTTTAGATATACTGCTTTGCTGCTGCTCGGTCGGTCTGACATGCAGCTGTCTTTTGTGCAGATGATTTGGACCTACCTCACAGATATCCACAGTGAGCTGCTGGTGTCGACTGGTGGTGAAGGTCTTTCCCTGGTGTAAAGAGGTTTACTTTCATTTATGCAGGGACGGAAACAAAGATCATATTTATGAGATGAGAAAAAAAAACCCTGTTAAGGTCACACGCTAGCTTTCCAGATGCCAGAGAGTGTGATCAAACAGTTCTCAATTAGAAGCATATAATTAGGGAGCATTATGATATTAAAGATGGCAGCTTGGTTTTACCCAAGCAAAACTAACTTCACAAGCAGCTGACCATAATTCTGGGTTCGGTTGCATTTATGTAGAAGGGTAATGGTGCAGGAGGAGGTTGTGTGCATGTGCGTCTGTGTGAATTGTGTGTGTGGTAGGAGTAGCTGCATAAACAGAGGAATATATCCTGGAGGAGAAAATGGTTGGTAAGCGTCCAAATATGCATTTCTTTGCTCCAGAGGCAACATGACTGTAGGATGAAAGGGTGGAGAGGTAGCAACATGAGCGTGTCGCTGGGGAGGCTTTTCGGTTTTTGGCTGTCATTGCTGGAAAAAAAAAAAAAAAAAAAAAAAAACAACACAGAGAGGGAAAACCTTTTGCATACATCACACTGGCTGAATATATAACAGCAGTGGCTGCTGTCGGTTGTCATAGTGATAAAGGAAAATAAATAACACCAACTTGTTTCTCAGCCAAAAATCAGGTAGGAGACATAGTGCAGAATAACAGCACACTGTGTGTGAGTTTGACATTTTCACCTAATTTGCTTTTTTGAGAAATGTTTGAGGAAGAGTTTGATGCCACTCCACTTAATATGAATTTGTAGTAAGCTTACCGCAGCGTAAGGGTTGTAAACAAGGAAACAGCTAGCCTGGTTAGCTTTGTCAAAAGTAACCATAGCTTGCTATTTAATCACCAAATCACCAATACTCTACCTTTTTATTAGAAATAAATGATTTGATATATTTATGGGGGTTATGTGTGTTTGCAGCCCCCGAGGCAAGCCACTCACATACTAAAGCTCTGACATGCTAGAAGTGACTCATAAGCATTTTCCCCCTGGAGATTATTGTCACTTCATAGTGCAATTAAAGCTCCTGTGAGGAATTTTCAGTTTGTGTCATTTTTGGCGCCCCCTGTGGACAAAGCAGTCTTTGCTCCTCTTGTGCAACACATGCACATGCAAAATCTCACTCTGCTGACTTTTGACTTTATCATTTACTGTGAATATTTCATGTGGCTTGGCTGACACCTACCCCCTTCAATTGTTTTCAGGCGTTAGTATTTTCAAGACTTGTCACTTATTCTGCACACCAGGGGCTCGACTATGGGGCAGTAGCTGAACAGCATAGCAGATGATAGTAGGCAGATTTTGTGACTACGCTGTAAAGCTAGCTGTTTTCCCCAGGTCCTTCATCTCAAGCTAAACTAAGTTACCTTTCTATCAGCTCAGCTCCATGTTTACCTTACAAACATAAAAGCAACTTCTGTCAGAAAAGAGAAAAAGGTAAATCCCAAAATGTAAAACCTCTCCTTAATGCTACTTGAAGACAGTGTTTTTTTTGGGGTTGTTCATCCTTACTTTGTCTTTTTGTTGCGAGTGCAGCTTTCAAAATACATTTTTATGACTAACTTTTGATCTTTCTTTCTAAAGGAAAATATAACACCTTTAAAGAAAAGAAAGGTTTATATAAAAGCAAGTAATCTTCTCCAGAGCTGAAAACTTACCTGGATATACTGACATATAAAAGAGAGCTCACTTGTGGGATTTTGGCTCCATGACCTATCCCTTCATCTGCTCTGTAAGGAGCTGAAGCAGCAGAACCTTTTTTTTCTCTAACATGTGAATCGATACCTTAAATGCATGTGTGGCGAGAGAAAGAGGAGTTTGCTCAGTTCACTGAGGCGTGTTGACCCTTCGTGGTCAGGTTGTCAGTGGAGCATACAGGAAGGACCCGGCAGGGCGAGAGGGAGTGAGGAGGATTCACGGGGAGGCTGGAAGTCTACAGCCGAGCTGAATTCCCTGAGGTTTCAGGCTGTCTCGCTCCGTCTGTTGACACTCTCTTACTCCATTGACTTTTTCATTAACCCCTTATCAAAATGTTTTTCTCTCCCACACTCCATTGACATGAGCCCCACTCATTTTTCCACCCACAGGATCCTGGTTCAGCTGTTCCACCTTGTGGTCAGACTTGATATGGGGGTGTCAATTTTTACTCGCTTGTTTTCTCTGAGGGGATATAGGAGTATGTGATTATTACAACGGGGACAATGTAAGAAAATGGTGTTTGAATGAGCAGAGTCAGTTTTTCACTTTAAACCACATTGACATTCAAAAACCTCACATCAACAACTCACATTCAGAATCTAGACTGACTGGAAATCTGTGAACATGATTTATTTGGTGCTGAAAAGTTCAAATTGGACAGAACAACCAAAGGCTTCTCACTTATTTTAATTACTTGCAACTTGTAAAGCAGCCAAAATCAATGTTTTTACTGGCCTGAGGTTAGAATTGGGCACTCACAGCTCTTTCTGCAAATCTGACATTTGTGCTGTTGCTCCAACTTTAACCTCAGAGTTTTTCCTCTGAAAATAATAAGACATTTGCATATGACTACTTCTATCTCCTTAAGACTGTACCAAACCATTTTATACTTTGACTTAGGCTTGGGGAGGGACTCAAAATGCAGAGGTTAAGATAATTAAAAAAGCCTTGTTGTGTTTCACATTGCGTTTTCAGAATAAAGCACAATATGAAGATAAAGGATTGATCTGTGGCAGGCTTCTGCCTTTGGGGAAACTCACTGCTCTAACTGTCTCCTCCAGCTGTGCGGGATACAGATGCAGTGCCCACTAGTGGTTTAAAAGAGTAGAAACTTTAAGCGGAAGTTTGAAGAGTATCATCAGAAACTGTGATTGAGTTTCAAGTGAAAAGTCAGCCAACTTTATCTTTAGGTAACCCCGGGTATGGAGCAGAATTTAGTTAGGATAGATAAGTGAGCGTGTAACTTTGGGAACATATCACTTATATAAAAAAAAATACATTAAATAAACTCACATGAATTTTAAACAGAGTATTTAAAGGAAAATGTAAATGAGACTCCAGTGTGGTTGAGCAGACTTAAAAGTAAATGGTCTCCAGTTCAGTAAGCATGTAATAATAAGCATTTAGTGTTTACCTCTCTAACACATCATTGATTTTCATCCCAGGTGAAGCTGCACGAGTGGAGGGAGGTGATAAGAATTCATGTTTATTGCAGCAGGCAGGAGCAACACTCTGCTCAAGCAAATTCTCAATCTCTGGCGCATAGACAGAATGAAAAGCTTAATTAAATCATTCCTCTTTTAATAATGTCCACCATGGCCCAAATATGCAGGGATTCAACTTAGTAAGACAAGAAAAGGGGGAAGTTTATGAAAACCATGACACAGAGCTCAAGAATAAACTGTTTAATTATCAAAATTGTAACTCATGTACAATTCCCTGAAGTAAGAATGATCGATAACAACTGTGAAGACGATGTTACAAACAGTTTCTCTTCTTTTTTTTTCAACCAGTCATCACAAATGGAAAATGTTTTTGGTAATTTTTACAGTACAATTTGTTCACTGTAAAGAAGTGTTCTGCAGAGCTGTTCAAAAACCTCATCACAGTACATCTCAGGATTATTTCTGTAAATGAATGAGTGGTAAACAAAAAAATGCTAACTTCTTTCCAGAAGAACAGAAATACGAAGACTTGATAACCAAAAGTTTATTGATACACTATGCTGACCGGGAAGAGTTGATGGAAGACACCAGATAAAAAAACAACAAAAAGAGACAAGAGACAGGCTGTGGAGTTCAAGAGTGAGATTTCAAGGGGACAAAAAGAAAAGATGAGGCACTGGCAGCTTTATCCCTCATCCAAAACTGATTTTAACCGCACAGTCCTTCAAGGTTCCCACACTCTACTCAACGTGATGTAGAGAGACAGAGAAGTTGATTGCAGCGACTTTGAGAAAGCTCAGAACTCCTCTTCAGCATTTCTGCTCTTGGAGGTCTTGAGGTGTTTGAGACGCTCGATGCACTCCTCCACACTGCGCTCGCCGTGGACTTTGTTATCTCGGGTGCGCACGTTCACAGTGTTGCTGGTCATCTCCTTCTCTCCCACCACTTTGCAGAAAGGGGAGACATGCAAATAGGACAAAGTAATCGATATTTAGATAAGCCAAACAGCGTAAAAGACAGACAAGAGTGAAGAAAGTGTGTTTCCACTGACCCAGGATGAAGTTGTACTGCGCCAACTGTGCATTTCTGATCTTTTTGTTCAGAGTGCAGCCAGGATCCAGATCAACGTCAGCCATAAAGCCGCTGTCATGAAAACCCTGCTTGACCTGCCAGAAAAAACAACAGATGGTAAAACAAAGCCAAGTCTGTGCTGGTGCATCAACAATTTATGCAAATAGAGTAAATTAATTTAATTTACTTGGATGTTTTGCAAATCTAGACGGAAAAAAAACTGTGTACTGGTTAATTTTGCTGTAATGATGACAACATTTCTGCAGCAGTTGTTGTGACAGAAGCTTTTTTAGTTCATGATATCAGAAGTGTTCTGCTGTTTATCATAGAAATATGCAGAATGTGCATTAAATGAAAAAAATATTCTAGGTTTCACACATTCAGAGAGTAAAAGGCACTGTGAGCAGTTTTTGACAGGTTAATAAACAGACTGAAAGCGTTACTACTGCCTCTGCATGACTTTCAAAAGTCAACAAGACCACCAGCACCATGACTTCTCTGTTCATTGCCAGAAAAAGCTGTGAGGGGGTGTCTGTCAGAAATGTTGAATGATGGAAGACTGAAAAAACAACCATATTCTATAGTCTCCATGGCAACCACTTACATTTTACCATTAAAAGAACAACAGGGTGTTTTTTTTTTTTAGATCTGAAAGCATTACTTTCTTATGTAGGCAACTTAAGAAAAAAGGGTGACAATCTGCCCCACAGGGTGGCGCCATAGCCAACATAATCCAAAAGTTACCCACAGAAGCTTTAAACTACAGCTGAAAATGATGGTTTCATAGTTCAATCTTGTTTTACAACAATGACTCAAAGCTGGTTCAAAAGGACACCAAACTACCGCTCTCTGAAAACCAAACAGGTTAGGAAGGGAAGAAGAGCAAGAAAAAGAGGAGAACTCGACTTATTTCCTGATCAAACTTCCTATTCTGCTTGTTTGCAGTTTTGCTGTACTAAACACAGCACTTACTCACAACCTGTATGATTGCTGGACTCAGTATTTCTTCTGCCAGGTTGGACTCATTTAATCAATGGTCCTAAATTCAGATAATTGAGCAATTAGTTTGGCTGCTACAGATTCATCACAACTTAGAGAAGAGTCAGTGGCAACAATGGAAATAAAAGCCAAGTCGCATTAATCTACAGTGTTTCCTTAAGGCTACACTACCTTAAGTATGTAGTTAAAATAATAAGAACTAGTTAAACTAGTTAACTTTGCCAGTTTAAGTTTGCAGGTTTATGGTTGGCAGTATGAATATAACATCTCAACTATGCTTTAAACAGCATTGGGGCTCCATCCTGTACGTGAATCGGTCATAGACACAAGCTTTACAAGTTAAATACAGGCAGCTTAGTATTGAATCAAAAACGCAGAATTTAATGGTCAGCTGTTACCTTCTGAGCATACTCCTCATGAGCCACTCCCACGGGTACGACCATCACCTGGCGAGGAGAGAGCCACAGCGGCCTGAAACACAACAGGACAGTTAAAAGTGAGCAGAAAAACAGTCCAGATAAAATATGCAAATATAAACAACCCCATGTAAATGATTGTTTTCCTGTTGTTGTTCAGTTTAAAATTCATGAACAGTATCTAGAAAAGAACTGCTATAAAATACAAACATCCACCTCTGATTCCTGCTTTAGCTTCATAGATCAACCTTTTTAGATAAGACTGTTTACAAACCATTTTCCTCCGTAGTTCTCAGTCAGAATAGCCAACATCCTCTCCACTGATCCCAGAATGGCTCTGTGGATGATCACCGGCCTCTTCTTGTCATCGCCATCATGGCTGCGAAATCATTCAAAAAGGGATTATCACCACACATAGTTCAAAGAAATCCAAGATAAAAACAACAGTGTTATACAGGAAGAGTTTTTACACTGTCTGATTTAATTTGCAATATAAGACCCCAACAAAATCTCAACAATCCGAAGCCTCTGGGGCAGCTCCGAAAACCCCGCTACTTCTCCATAATTGGATATCATTAAATTTTATTCAAGTGTTTGCTGTTATAGGCTTTTATGTGAGCACTTTCTCCAGTGTTATTCATTAAAAGTTCTCCTCTGATTATGCAAATTTACTATTAAATTCTATAGCACACATGAGGATTTTTACAGCAGCTATTCCTCTTTGGTGAAAACTTTAAAAAGTTACCTGACAAAGGTGAGATTGAAGCGGATGGGGAGCTGGAAATCAAGCTGGATTGTGGCACACTGATGGTACCGACCAATGGCATCCTTGATCTGAATGTCAATCTGCAAACAGTAGGCAGAAACGATCAGGCCGGGCCCTCCTGCTGTTTCACAGTTTAAGTGCATCATTACTGCGGCACATGGCTCACCTTTGGTCCATAAAACGCTCCGTCACCGGGGTTGAGAACCCATTTCTCCCCAAACTCATTCAAGCTGTTCTCCAGTTGCTGTGAAAACAACAATTACAGCTTTGTTAGGACATCAATGGCTGACCAACATGCGAGTAAACAGCAGTGTTAAGCAAAGCTGTATATTTATTCCTGGCATTTTCTTCATCTGGAACTAATCACTGAACTGAGAAATGTTAACGTCTCAATAATATTTTATGGTTTCTTGTGGGGGAGTTAATGAGGTGAGGGGAAACACTCAGCAAGTTCTGTTCCAGTCACCATGCCAAGTTTACAAGTCGGTTATTTTGAGTATATAATTTTCCACCTTTGTGAATACAAACATTAATCATAAAAAAGTCAGTGCAGAATTTATGAAATGTTTTCCCAGAGAGACGTGTCTCCCCGATAGGTCAAACAAACAGTGCGACAACTTACAAGCTATTATAATTCTGCTCACAATATCACATGTTGTGCTGGTTACACTAATGTTTTTTCTGTTTCTGACACTTGTGTCTAACCATTATTAGCACATGCAGTCAGCAGGAGCAGCCGCATCTCTACACTGGAGCCTCTGTGAGTTCTTTGGGTTGTTCTGTGCCCCGGCAGAATTCAGATTATTTAATATTTAAATAGTACCATGGCCCCTGCATTGATTGTTTGGAAAGTGACATGCTCAAAATAAATATTATCAGCGATGTTCTGCTCCCAGCAGCAAGAGACACGCTCAGAAACCAAGTTAAAACTGAACTGTGACACTTCTGCACGTAGAGCAGGGAGGAATTTTTACAAAAATAAAAGCTCTTGAAAGTTTATAAAATATCAAAAAGGAACAAAGAGTTGAAAGGATTAAATGTCCTTATCTGCAGCATAATGGCTCTCATATTATCTTACGCATTGAGCTGTCATCTACTGAAGTATGAATGTGCACAGAGTCCCCCTGTGGGCAACTGTATGTGATTAGTTGGAGCTTAAGCCCAAGTATATCTTTCCAGTGGGTGTGAAAAATGGAGCGTTCTGTTGATTAAACTGAGAATGCGTTTTGAAAACTTTACGATATTTTGATGCCTGGCTGCCCGCAGTAGATTTAGAAGCACCCAGAAAAGAGCAACAACTGGTGTGATATAAATACAGCAATCAGTGAAGGGAGACATGACACTTTGGTCGGAGACAGCAGGACATTAAAAGGAAAACAAAACATCACAACAGCTTTGTAGTACAAATTAAGTGACGCAAGCGGCGCTGCTGATGTAATGTTTTGTTAGTTATGCTCTCAGCTGGATCAAGAGGGAGACTGATGTGATGTGAAGACTAACCTCCCCTTGCTGTAGGGCTGCACACATGCTACCAGACACCTTTTCATCCGTTTGTTTACTGCCTGTAAACATTTGCCAGACTGATTAACAGCCGGTACGTTTAGTATCATTATTCTACCTGTAAAACAATTCAGCATGCTGGAGACGCCTTTGTCTAACAACTGTCACTCAGTGTTGATTTGACAGATTCATCATCTGTCAGACTGGAAATAGAGACTTGTTATCATTCGATTTAACTCACCCACTCGTGTTATTATGGTGTTGGAGCTGTGTTTAAACGTTACCTACTCTTTCTTCGACTGTCTTTGAGCTGCACCTGAGATGGAGAAATATAGAGCTGTTCCACAGAGAGTGAATCTGATTTGACAGCAAAGGCAGACAGTGATGGCACTGATGTCGACTCTCATGAGATGAGCGAGCATTTTCTGATCTGACAGCAGTTCTGCAGAATGAAAAACTAATTCATTAAAATATAAATGTTTCCTGGCTCTACAAACCGCGCTTTTGCATTTGCTGCCTGTGAAGCAGTTCCCAGAATTTCCATTTGATAATATCACAGATCAGCATCTTATTCTCCGGTGAGACTGTGCCAGATTGCTGTTCACATTTTCAACCACAGGACAGAAACAAAGAGGTTCTGTGATTACCTTTTCTGCTTGGTCCCAGATCTCCGGGTCCCCCAGGAACTTCTCTGGTCTCGTGGACAGGTTGAGTTTGAAAGTGAAGCCGAACACGTTGTACACAGCCCTGAGAAAGTCCAGACAGCCCTTGATTTCCTCTTCAATCTGGGGTCAAAAACAAATCATAACTGAGATTGCATCATCCTTCAGGGCACTGCTGAGAGTGTAATTGCTGCTGTAATGACTGATTTCATCTGTCTCCACTGGTATTAACAGATAATGAAACGATGATGTAATCAGAAGAAATTATGATAAACCTCTCAGCTCACTGGAGATGATATATTATGATTGATAGCTATTTTACAGCTACAGCTGTGAAGCTCATCGTAATTGCAGTCCTTTTAAACATTGGAGTCTTCACCGCACAGCTATGCACCTCCAGTTAATCATATTTTTAAGGGAAGCAATGCAAAAAACAGGTGGTGAGACAGGACTCGCACACACACACTCGCACACACACACGCACGGAAAAGACAGTGAGAATGTTGTAAATTGTAGTGGAGGAAAGTTCCACTATCTTAAAAGTGAGCTGCCATCAGCAAACCAAAACTGAAGTAAAAGTTAAAGCTGCACCTTCTGCACTTTTGCTTTGAGTTGGTTTATAACAAAAATAAAAAAAAACATTGACAGTACAAGCAGCACTTTCTCGCTGCTGCAGACTCAGTGAAAAATCCAAAGTGATGTGAATTTGTACACAAAGTGCAATCAAATAATTAACCATCCAATCCACTGCCATTTCTGATAAACACAAACGCAATCAGCGGGATCCTGGCTGCAAGTCGCTGCACCACTACATTTGAACAAAGTAATTAAGAAATCTATTCACTCTTCCAAAATCCTGTTTGTATGCATTGATATTGGCAGTGCTCCTCTTCGCTCTGAGGACTTAACATGCAAGTTGCTCCCTCAGGTAGCAGCCGCCTGAGGAGCTCTGAAACTTGAGGCTGAGAACGTTACTGACTTTCCAATGACATTACCGGGTTTTTTTTCTAATAATTTAGGCGAGCGAGACACTACAAGAGGCTTTCTTTTTAAAACTCAAGACATCAAACAGAAATGATGGCAACAAAGAAACATTCATCCTGGTTATTGCCAGAAAAGGTTCATGGTCGAATGACTTAAATCCTCTCTCTAAAACTTCAGAACCCATTTAGCATCGCACTCCTATAACTCTGTCAGGCGCATGATGGACAGATGTGTTAAAATATCAAAATCAATTCAGCAGAGTCAGAAATATTGTCTTTTATTGCACGCATTCTTCTTCCTTGTCAAAGCTGAGCACCTGCATTACCTTTGATGCAATTGGCAAAAGTTGGGTCTCAGATTTAGGTGTTATATCATAGTTGTGGCTAATGTAGCAAACAGAGTGGGCCCCAGAGGTCTGTCAGGTTGTCAACGAATATTCTAAATTCAATTATATATTTGAATATTTAAATGAAAAAAAAAACAAGATTTGAATGTGAAAATGAATATTTGAATATTCAAAAGACCGGAAAAAAACTGAATGGGAAAAAAAACAAAACAGCGGCTGCTTTGAAAGTGAGCACTCTGTTACGACGGGTCAGGGACAGGTCACAGGAGCTGCACATGCAGTGAGACTTGACAAAAATCGCCCGTGGCACATGCAGAGAGAGGACGAATATTCGAACGTCACTTTGGATAAATTTTGACAGCTCTAGAGGTCTGTAAGTTAGGAGTGCATCTTTCTAACTCCTCACAAACACTATATAATCATTGGAAATTTCTCATTTTCAGCCCTAACCAACACTGCCATGCTGGCATCACTAGTGAAAACTTCTTGGACTTGAAGGAGCTTCTTCTTCTTCTGAAGCAAACTTGTTTTCTCATGTGCTGTAGTGCTGCTTCCTTTCATGTGTAAATTTGGCTGAACTGACCCTCTGAGTCAAATTAACTGGTCCCAACAAACAACTTTTTTTTTCAGTCAGACTTCTGCCTCCAAAATGTGTTTTGTGAACCTGCTGAGCTCACAAACGTGAAGCTAATCGATAACTGTGGGACTCACCTGGTCCATGGAGCAGAAGATGTGAGCATCATCCTGCTGGAAGCGGCGGACACGGGTGAGACCTGTCAGGGCTCCTGACAGCTCGTTCCTGTGCAGGACGCCAAAGTCAGCCATGCGGATTGGTAACTCTCTCCAGGAGCGTGGCCGGTGATCAAACATCAGACTGAAGAAAGACAGACAGATGGTAAGAGTGAGTAAAAACACACATATTACAGCTCCCAAATTCTACCTTGACTTCTCACAGCCACTGAAAACCACTCGGCTGCTTCAGGATTACTTTGAAAGACAATCAATATTTGATTTAACTGTCATCCAGCACTGTCACGAAATGTGTTTGTGAGCTCAATTTTCATTTCGGAGCCATCTCCAGAGAGGCTGCCCATGAGGAGAGCGGAGAGATTGTAGCAGTAAAAAGGAGATAAAAGATTTGACTACAAAGAGCTGCAGTCTGGTTCTTTACACTGCAATGCAGCATTCAGCAGTAAATTGAAGTGGGTCATTCAACTAAAGAAAACATGGCACAAACATCAGTCCATTACAAGCTGAGCTGAACCAGATGACAAACTAATGTAGCAGAGAAAGATGGGGCTGTTTCAGAAAGACTGAGTCAACTGCTGATAACAAATCCCCGTGCAAACTTACAAAGCTGTGAAAGTCAGCTAAAACATCATTCTGGGGTTCTCCCTGATGTGCCACCGCACCGAGGGAGAGTCTTTTTGCTGGATCCATAAAGTGAAATTTGTACCAAAGGAGTTTTTTATTTGTGTATGGTGAGCTTATTTTGTTCTGCAAAATGAATTTGCCCTCAAGAAGAAGATGAAGAAGAAGAAGAAGAGACAACTCTGCCTCTAACAAAGACTGTTGTTTCCCTAATTAAAGTGAGAAACACAAGTATCTATTTCACACCAGAGCGAGACTCCACTCAGTGTGCAACAGAAGTGGGTGTTCATGCTTTCACACTTCATGTTCATTCTCTTTTAGACTTGTTTGCTGAAGTTCGACTTTTAAAAACTCTCAAATTTGAGAGAAGAAGCCTCACCAGTGTCCCGGGCAGTTCATAGGTTTAAGGGCGAAGGTCTCCTTCTCCACCTCGAAGGAGAACATGTTCTCGCTGTAGTGCTGCCAGTGGCCGGACGTCTGCCAAAGCTTGCTGTTGTAGATGTTCGGTGTCACCACCTCCTGGAAACCCCTCTTCCTGTACTCACTCTGCCCGGGAGCAAGGTGTCAAACAAATGTTATTTTAAAACTTCTCAAAGTAATCAAAGTGCACATTTCAATTACTTGTTTCTTGGTCAAGATAACGAGTGACTCGGCGAGCTAAAGTTGGGATTTTTAAAGATGCAATCATGTGTGATTGGATGGAGCTGCATATTTAAATTCTTGATTAACATGAGGACATTTAGTCTGACCTGAAAAAGGAAGGGCAAAATTAAAGAAGACCGTGAAACAGCCTTGTGCATTTCAGCAAAGCAAAACTAGCAAAGATTTTTCCTGGCAGTAGTGAGGCTTGCAATAGATGTGCCTTGGTCCCAGCTGACTTAGCCCACACTTTCTGGTCATGCTAACAGGGTTCTGGAGGAGCTTTTTCAAGATCATGTCAGAGGTTCTAGGTGTAGCTATCACTCCCTGTCCACTCATTGCTGTTTTTGGAGTTCCCTCGAATTATTCAGAATTCAGTAAGCAGACATTACATTTTTTAGCATTTGCCTCTCTGATAAGCTGCATAACATTCTACACTGGAAGTTGCCTAAAAGCCCAGACTGACCTAATGTCATTCCTTGAATTAGAAGAAATCTAATTTTCACTCCGAGGGTCAACTGAGAAATTCTGTGCTACATGGCAGCCTTTTATCTCATATTTCGAAAATGTAGCTACAACTCTTACAGTGTAAGAGGCAACAACACTTTCTGTTTTTTCTTTTTTTGTTTGCTTGTTTGTTTTTTGTCCAGCTGTGCTCTTACATCAATATGAAAGTACAAATGTAAGATGGTTGATGAGATATTCTGTTTGAAAAGGGAAGACCAACTGGGGTGGGGGGAGGGATAATCCTTTGTATGTTTTCTTCTTGTTTGTTTGTATGTTTGTTTATCTGAGGAAAAAAAAAAATCCCATGTCTATTTGTAAAGCTCACGTACCATGATGTGATTTGTTTCAATAAACAGATGAAAAAAAAAGAAGAAAGAAACGGCCTTGTATGTCAGACTTCTGTTTAAAAATTCATAAAGGAAATCTGATTCATCCGATAATGAAATAAAAAGAGGGTTCAGCTAAATCAGGGTGAATAAGAGGTCAAATATTTTGATTAAGTTGGTATGTTGTTCCTTGTAAAGGCAGAGCTCTCTTATTAACACATTTAATTACTGAAAAACGTACTCCATCACAACTCTTTTCATCAAATTTAAGTTACTGTTTTCTGTGTGTGTGCTGCATTGTCACTGCAATGACTGCAAACTAACAAAGGGGCCAAAGAGCTTTCTTCAGTCCTGTCAATCAAGCCTGCTTTACATATTTGAATTTGTTCGGAATAATTGCTAAGCAAATAAAAAACTATTTCAAAACGTATAAATAGGATTGAGTTGAAGGGGCGAAGGTCTTCTTTTCTATTACCTAGCAAGAAATGAGAAATTGCTTATTGAGAGAGGATTAATTAGACATGTGAACAGCGTTTTCAGTGTTTTTCTTGCATTAGAAGAGTATGGGTCAAATTTGCTATTTTAATGTGCTCAAATGCGTCATAATTCAACCTCTTCATGTCTAAAAACTTAATTAGTTTGTCTTTTCACCTCCAGGATTTAAATCATCAACACATGACGGATAATTACTTACTTCTCTGTATTCAAAACTATTTTTTCCCCAAAGTAATTTTTCAATTGCAGCCATATATTCAGTAGAAATTATTTAAAGTGTCTACTTTTTTAGAGGTCACCCTCTGTTCTTTCCTCCTCCCCAGGTCTCCATGCTAATTTAAACCATCTGACTCACGCTGTCTGTCCCTCTGTCCCCATGTCTGCAAGTTTGGAGTGAGATCACGGCTGTTATTCACTCTTCTTCTGACAGCTTTCACTTACTCTGATGAACTCGATCAGTGTGTTGTAAAGGAACGCTCCCTTGGGCAGGAAGAAGCAGCTGCCGGGGCTCAAGTCATGGAAGAAGAACAGGTCCTGCTCCTGGAGAAAAAGAAAAGAAAGAGGTTTGTTAGTTTGATGGGAAATTAAGAAAGGCCGACACACAGGTCAGACTGGTTTCAATTAATCACATGTTCCAGTTCACTAAGGTTTGTATGACACTTGACTGTCTCCTGTGTAGCACACCCTGTCTGACCTGTAAACTCCTTTTCAATTGACAGTAAAGAAGTCTAACCTGGCCTCTGTATTTGAGGAGGACTCTACATGTATTAAATGACTAATTTGTTTGGATGGTCACTGCATCTGAACAGAAACATTATGAACTAAATTATACCAAACACAACAAAACTATGGCAGCAAACCCTTTCACTATCTGTAACTTTTGCCAAATGTCAGCCTCATGACGTTTTAGCTCTTACCCGTCCCAGTTTGCGGTGATCCCTGTTTTTGGCATCCTCTTGAAACTTCTCCCACTCCTTCAGCATTTTGGGGTCAGGGAAGGAGATTCCATAGATCCTCTGAAGGGTTTCCATGTCTGCCTTTCCCTCCCAGTATGTGGATGAGTTCTAGCATGACAAATAAAAAAAAAAAAAAGGATGTTGGCTTTTGTTGTTTTCTGAATCTACACAAAAACAAAAAGTAACTGATTGTGCAAAAATGGGGTGAAAGTGCAAACAGTCAAAGGAAACAACTATAAACAAAAAGGCTCACCTTGTGGATTTTAAGTGCCTTGATCTTCCCAGTATGTCTCACGTGGGGCCCCCGACACAAGTCAATCAAGGGACCACATCTGGAATAGAAAAAGGTTTTTAAGTTGTGACCATTGTTAAAAGCCAAATAAGATCACAAACTGAGAAACTGTCTCTTTTAGGTGATAACATGTCAACGACCTTGTAGTAAGCATTGATAAATAGTTAATAAGTCTCTGATAAGACCATATAAAGCTCTTATACACATTTATAAGTTTTAATAAAAGCATCATTCATACATTCATTATTGCTGATGATATACTTATAGGCTCCAACTCAAAACATGTTAACAATTTATTTACCAGTCATAGACATCAATATTGTGTTTATTTACATTAATTAGCCTTTAGAACAATTACTTAATAAATATTTATTTACCTATTGGTTAGTCTGGAAACTTTTTACCAATTACAGTCCATCGATAGCCTTAATAAAATCTCATACTGTGCCTTTAACATCATGGCTAACATTTATTATTGCTTTTTAGTCCCACTCACTGGAATCTTGCAAACAATCAAAAAAACTCTTAAGCTATCTCACATAAATATGACTTTAAGGTTATGGTTAAGGCTTTGTAAGGATAAATTTATGATTTATTTCCCACTCATTAGCAGCTAGTAATGTTCCTTTACAGCTACAGGATCTAAAGTTCCTTCACATAAAGTGGTACCCTTTTTTTCATGGTTATTAAATCCTAATCGATAACCAGAAGCTAAAATGTATTAGTATTACTCAAAAAAAGTCAGCAGACTGATGTCGTAGGTTGATGTTGGTTATTGTGTTGCAAATTTGACATGTGAGGTTGTGATTGAGAGTGGAAAATACAGTAGGTGTTTTGTTTTTCTTATGAAGGAGATCTGCTGCTTCAGAGGAACACCAAAGTAAAGCATCAGACGGAATATTCTGAAAGGATGATGAATGTTTTTGTCTTTCTATCCATTAAAGGGGTTCGTTTACAGTGTAAAAAACTAAACTTTATCACCAGAAACTTATTCTGAAGAGTTTTTTTCATGCACTCACCTGTAAACTGTGGTGGTGGGTGTGGTTACCTTCTCATTCAGGATGCGGCACTTGAACGTGTTGTACTATCAAGGAGAAGAGGTCGTTTTAAAGTCCTGTTTGCTCTCAAGTCCCCCATCTTTTATTTGTTTGAGTTTATGTTTTCAGATACCTTGAACATTTCCAGCAGTGTCTCCTTCTTGATCTCCAGTCTCTCAAACGGCTGCTTCTCCTTGATAATTTTCTTGCACAAGTTCTCCAGACCTGGGAAGTCATTGCTGGACACGCCCCTGTCCAAATCATCACAGATAAACACAAAAAGGTCAGATGACGGTGCTGTGTAGTCCTGGATTAATATGCAAACAGCTTTAAATGTGAAACGTGGTCTGCAGGTGTTTGTAGAGGGTGTCATGAATGTGACAGCGGGGCATTTCATTCAACAGTGTAATTCTCTGGCCTCCACAAATGGATAACCTCTGCCAAACATGGGCAAATAGTTTAAAGTCCTTGGCTTTAGGGCTTTGAGCAATGTCAAAATATCCCTGCAAAAAAACACGGTCTCCAAGAAAGCCATTTGCATAAAACGACTTCATTAAGGAGGTTGTAGAATTAATTAGACAGCGCTCCTCATGCTCTCCCGCTGCCTGAAGCCGGAAGAATTGCATCTGTTTCAGGAAAAGGTCAAATGAAAAAGTTGTTTACGATGAAGAGGTATTCAAATTTTACAGGGTGTCTTCAAGCACTTTCACAGCTTCGCTCAACTTCAAGTCTGTGTGTTTCTGAATAGATTTGCTTTAAGGCTTCCAATTCTGTGGGCTGATATATAAAGATGTTGTTTTAAATCCACGCCCGAGAAAAATCCAGCTTGACAGCATTAGTGTCATTACACTCCACCTGTTTTGTGTTTGCAATGGGTCTTAGACTGGCAGCCACAAAGCTTTGAAGTAAACATCAAAATAACAACGAGAGATGACGAACAAAACTAATTATACAGACAAATCTAAACTCGGAGCCTGTATGACTTACTCATTGTTCTCCAGGAACATGTCGTAGTAAAAACCGCTCTCGATAGGCGGACCGTAGCAAAGGCAGCCTCCGTACACTCTCTCCATGGCTTCACCCAGGATATGAGCGCTGGAGTGCCAGTAAACCTAAAGAATATTAGAAAAAAGACATTAAGTCTATTGCACAGAGAAGATAGCGTTGATATTTGTGCCGATTTAATGCTCTTTCCCTACGTTGCAGACTTGATTAGAGAAGAAAAAAAAAAACTTTATCACATCACTTCTTCTGAACGCGGACAACACTCAAAAAAATCTGAAAAATGTTCCACAAAACCTGCTGACAACTCGTGACATAAAAAGCAAATTGGCTGAGACAGGGAAATCTCGAAAGCACTTAAAAATGTCGAATGACAAATGGCTCTCCTGGTGAAATATTCAGCACCTTGTTCAGACAATGAAGTTGAAATTGGGCTTTTATTTTCGGAGCAAGTCTCGTTATTCACTCATGACACTGGTTGCTGCCACTTTTATGACAGTCAGTGATGGCAGCGGCATTTTATTTCACACCCTCACGTCCCTTTTAATGTTTTTCTGGATTGGAAATTTGATGAAGAGAGGTCTGAGGTTTATCATTAACTGTAAACCCATCATTCATCACTTTAACCTTGAGTGCCTGGGTTAGCCTGGCCTCTCAAATACATCAATGGGACTGAACAACTGTACATGTTTTTGCTCTTTGTATGAGCACAGTCTGTAAACCCAATATCCAGTTAGTACAATAAATATAACAAACCTCAGTGGCACTGCAACCATGTCTGATGTACTTCAACAGGTTCTTCAGTGAACATTGGCATGTAGGTGTAGTATTTTGTGCTCAAAAACAGCAAACAGTGTGTCAGGAAGGAAGTGTTAAGAGGCTTTACTCAACTTCTCTGCAGTCTCCTCTCCTAATCCATACATAAGGAGGGGAAAAAAAATAAATACAAGCAGACTAGGGATGAGGTGGACTTACTGCCTGAGCCTCCTCATCATCAAACTTGAGCAACTGCAGGCTGCAGTCATCCTCCAGAGGTCTGTCCAGGTCCCACACACTGTTGTTCACTTTCGCAATCACTGTGTTATCTGCCAGGCCTTGACTATAGAAATAAAACAGATATATTCCACATCAAATTTATGCGCATATAAACAAGCTTAGTTAATAAAAGTTTAATTAAAAACCTCAGAGTACATGTTATGCAGCTAAAATTCAAGTGGATCTTATTATACTCAAACACTGTGATAGTTTGGGCTGTAAATTGAAGAGGTAAATTCCCATTTAGTCTTGTATTCATGAAATGCAGGTTGACATATTTCAAGGCTTTTTGTTTTAATTTTGAGGATTTGGCCGAAACAGCAATTCCTTGGATCGGTCAAAAAGGGTTTCAAATGCAGAAAAAGCATGTTTGATACTCTCTTGGGGTCCTTTCACTGCAGATAACCGCATCAAAAAGGTGTGGCATAGTGGCTATCAGCCTGTGGCACTGCTGAGATGTTCCTGAAGCCCAGGTAGCTTTGACAGCAGCCTCTTGGTTGTCTGTAATTGAAGGTTGGGCGTTTTCTCATCCTCCTCCTAACAAGAACCACTTAAATTTTCCATGGGGTTTAGTTAAGGCAAGTTGTCTGGCCCAGCAAACCACTTGGTAGTAGTTTTGGTGCTGTGGGCAGGTGCTAGTTCCTGCTGAAAATAGAAATCGGCTTCTCCTTAAAACTTGTCAGCAGATAGAAGCAAAAAGTTCCGTAAGATCTTTTGGTAAATGACTACATTGACTTCAGAGTTAATAAAACACAGTAGACCAACCAGCAAATGACACGGCCCCCTGAATCATCACAGACTGTAGAAACTTCACTGGAATTTCACACCCTGGATTCTGTCTCTTAACTCACCCTCCAACTCTAAGACGCTGATTTCTAAATGAGATGCCAGAAAAAGGGGAAGTAGGACCATAAGCATCAGTCAAAGTCTTTTCAAGTTTTGTAATATCCTTTCTAATGTTCTCTTCTACTCAAGGAGTGAGTGGAAGGAAACTTCAGATGATTGTGACGGTTCAAGTCCCCTTCTTAGGGACATCAGCAGTGTTGTGCACATTCATACCAAAAGTGAGCAACAACATCAACTGGAAGAAAATTCATCTCAAGCTTTTGACTTTTAAGTCAAACACACAGGAAAAGTTCGCTCTGCACTTCATAATGTAGGAAAGATGATTTTCACATCCTCCAGGATGAAGAAACACTGAACAAATTAACACAATCTGAAAAAGTTGTACTTCTGCAACCAAAGGGGATTTAGTCCAGTGGGATCGGCTCTGATTTGTGCATAAAACTACTTAAAATGTTCAGTAAAGCTGCTTCTTCTGCACTGCCTACAACCTCTGCTGAGTGACAGAAGCAAGTACCTCCGGGTGACTTTATGTCTGACTTCAGCTGCAACACACACACACACACACACACACACACACACACACACACACACACACACACACACACACACACACACACACACACACACAGCTTGGTAACCCTTGGCAACTCTCAACACATCACAGATCCAAAAGTGAGCTGACTCCACTGTGGAGTTGATTTTGGTTGCAAGTTTCTCACTGCAAACATGTTGTTACTTAGCTTGAATTGAAACAGATTTAAAATGAAATATAATATTTTGAGAAATGCATTTTCCTATTTTTTTTTTTAGCAAATAATCAAATTAATTATCAAGTTAATCTAAATAATCAAAATTTAAATACAAAACTGCTTAAAACATTTTAGTTTACATGCAGCATGTCTGCGTCTACTCTACTTTGATGTGCTTAGATAACTGAAAGGAAATATTGAACTTTTCAAGATCGTCTAATTGACTGACATGCATCTGTATTCAACCACTTGCTATGTAAATAGATTTGTATGTAATAATCAACAATATAAAATAGCTTGTGAAAAGATTTACAAGCTCTTTATATAGATATTCACCCAAAGGCTGCATGAAATTGAAGTTCTCTAACGTTTGTGTGATGTTATTATCATGTGACACTGTCATCACCAGCGCTTTAAACAGATGTAGTTTGGCTGGTCTTACAAGGAGGCTGTTTTATTACTGTCCTGAGCCTTAGGAGGATGTAAAGGAATGCTGCAAACTGTCAGCACCAGCTATTTGAATTCCCCACCCACACTTCTGAGGTGAAAAAAATCCTCTCAAATCATCTGGCCACCATATAGAAAAAGGCCAAACAAACTGAAAGTGCCAGCACTTTGCACAAGTGTGTTCATTGCATCACAACAAAGTACAAAGGTGGGGCCGTGGTTTGGGTTTTGTCAAACGGAGCAATTCTGGCACTGACTCTTGGGGTGGTGATGATCGATTCTGACATTTCTGAAAACCTCTTAACAAGCCCGTGTTCACATGGCTGTTGGTTATTAACATTTGGTCCCTGCTTACACACTCTCATCATCGACTGGGCCAGGAGGGAGATCATTTTCAAAATTCACATCAGTGTTCCCTCAAAATTTTTTTAACTAATAAGGAGTATTTTCTTGTCTTCAGGAGACAGTTTAAGGTTAGTAGGTGTCATTTTCAATTACTATTATCATAATGTAAGAGCTGAAGCCGTATGAAACTTTAACAGTGATTACAGGCTGCAAGACTCAATTTGACAGCTGGTCTTTAGAAATTAAATCTTGAAGCACCCTTGACGTTTTCCTTTTTTTTTATGCTACTTGAAAGCTGGTGTCAAATTCAATAAGTATCATTGGTAGCGATCCTATCATCACACTGACCTGATTCCACAGGCCACCTGGTACGGTGTGGTCTTCCATGACTCAGCATCAACCACCTTCCCATCAGGCAGGGTCACCTTGATGGCTCTGCTGTTATTGACTGCCCTCTCTGCCATGAGGGCTTCATGCTCAGCTTTAAGCTTTGAGTACAGAGTAAGACGGTCCTCAATGTACTGGGGTGGAGGCGAAAGCTGGAAAGACAGGGATGATAAAATGAGGACTTTGTCGATAATACTGGTTCTGTGTATCAAGTCTGATTATAACACCAAGCCAACTACGTTCTGTCTCCAATTTAACTTAGTAACTCACCTCAGACCTTCCTCCAGAGTCTCCTGCAGCGTTTTTGACCTTCTTTTTCCCTCCATCTTTGCTGCCTTCAGTTTTCCCCTGTTACAGAACCCAAGCAATAAAGTCAATAAAAATCAGAGGATGAACAACAAGGATACAACAAAGGATAAGTATCAAGCTAGTTTACACATAAGTTCATAAGTATCTTGCCTATTTATTCACATACTGCTGAGAAAGGTACAAACCTGGAACTGCACTTTTTTTTAACATTGCTACTTTTTCAGTAATTTCACACTATACACCAATAACACCTTTCAGTTTAAAAAACGGTCCCTGATTGGAAGTTGTATTGGATAAGATGAATCTCACTATTAGAAAAGATATATTCACACTTTTTTCAGTGGCCCATGAAAAGATCTTCACTTTTGACAGCTGTTTTGTCAGAGCGTGTCTGTGTGTGTGCAGTTTTTGTATGCTATAAACTACTTTTCAGTATATATCATTGCATTCTCTGTGATTACCAGTATTCTTGATTTTTTTGCAGCTATTCTAGTGTCATTTTTATTATTTTATCCAACTGTTGTTCCAACTTTTATTATTATAAGGCACTTGTGACAAAGGTTTGGAGCAGTGCTCTGGAATAAGAGTTTATTATCAATAATAGTTCATTTCATTCTATAGCACTACTACTATAATTGGTCTCTGTAGCATAAAGCAGCAGATCCGGCAGAACAGGATCCAATGAGAGGTTAAATAGTGATTTAAGGAGTGACTTTACAACAAAACATTTACACTAACTGAGGCACCCCGATTTCTAAAGAAAGAGGACCAGATTCATTCACTGCTATGCAGACTGATCTTAAACTATCTGAGACCATAAATAAGTGGATTTTCTGTAAATTGTAAGATTTCTGAATGAGGTTTTGCGTGAGTCGGTTTCTTCACCGTGCCAAGTAAGACGTGTAGATCCAACACTGGCCAAATACACTTGCAATGAATCACAGATGTCTACCTTTTTACAAAGAAACACAGCCGTAGTTGGTAATTGTATTTTCCTGACAGCATCGCTGAGTTTACAGCTGTAAAGTTAATGCTAACCCTCACACCACATTGCCGATGGACAAATGACAGCATGAATCTGACTACAGGCTAGGCTAGCTCGCTAATATGTCATAAATGTGCGCAGGCATGAGACTACAGTGTCACCTTTTTCCCCTCGTCCACTTGCATTTCGCTCATCTTCCCCACGACAGTCTGGTCAGCCATCACAAGTGAAAAGCTACCTCACTTTGATAAGATAACTTTGGTGAGTCCGGCTAGCATGTATGGACGGCAGACAGGCAGTCAGGATGCCGGGTGAAGGCTGATGACGTAGCCCGGATATTGCAATTCTGATGCAATATTGAGAGAGAGTGGGCGGGGCTTTGTGTCGCTGAGAATTTACAAATTAAAATACAAGAATGAGAGTCCACAACCATTACAGAGAACATTCATATAGGTTTCAATATTATTCAGATTTTTGTAACTTTTAACCCCCAATAGCTAAGTTGAAGGACATTGTTGTGTTTCACTTACATACCTTGTTTTACTTTTTTTTTTTTTTTTTTTTTTTTTTTTATCAAGTCAACTTCAAGTCAAGTCAAGTCAACTTTATTCATGGTGCACTTCAAAAAACAAAGTTTGAGCCAAAGTGCTTTAGAGTAGGAAATTTTGGAACAGACTTTGATTAAAAAAAAAAAAAAAAGCAGAACATTAAAAAAAACACTTGATGATAAGGTAGAAAATATACCTTATCATACACAAAGGACATCCAACCTGTAAGCCCCTGAAGTTCTCAAAACTAGTATTTTAAACTTTTATACACAACATGAAATTTATATGCACTATATATATCGCATTGGGAGAAGTTAGCTAATTTAGGGGGCACTGTAAATTTGAACCCTTACTGGGGAGAGGGGTATCCTTGATTATTGAGCCTATATCATAAGATGTATTATAATAATAACAACAACAACTACATTAATAATAATAATAATAATAATAATAATAATAATAATAATAATAATAATAATAATAATAATTATAATTATTATTATTATTATTATTGTTATTACTTTATTTTTATAGTTTTCAAAACAGAAGTTTACAAACTGCTTATATATTTATTTTCATTTGTCAGTTTAATTCTTATACATAGCAAGTTATTCAAGTATAAAATAATAATTGGGTCAGCCTACATACATTTGAGGCCAAAATCATGAGCCCCCCTCTGAATTTTTGAATTTGAGTTTTTTTTTATTTTATTTGTTTCTGTGTGCAAAGTAAAAGAATGTAAGGATCCAAAATAAAACTAGGATGTTTGGAAAAGCTGTGTAAACAAAATCATTAATCTGTTGAACAGCACTTTGGAAATTTTGGAAAAAAAACTTCAAATTTCATAGGGGGGCTAATAATTTTGGCCTCAACTGTAGTTACCATCAGAAAGAGGCCCTGCAGTGACAACCATGAAGGCCTTTGTCATCACCTGAGCAAAAACTTTAATTCAGGTTGTAAGTTGAACCTCATTATGATGTATAAAGAAAAGAAAAAGGGATGGTATCCGTGATCCAATATCAAGAAGAATCCCACTGTGCTGCCATCAGTGGTCGGTTTCAGTTGAACCATCTGTTGCTAGTAGCAACAACTGCTGGCACAGTCCCAGTACAGTTCCACATTGAACTCTGAGTCTTCTTCATTAATGCTGTTTGTGGTCACTTTTGTTTGTTTGTTGTGATCAGTTCAATGCCATCCTAGCTAATTATTATCAAGGCAAATCAACCACTACTATAACATTCTTCACAGCTGTTGAACTGCTGCTCTGTTCTTTGTGTGATTACTGTAGTCAAGTCTACTTTGTTTCCTTATCTGAGAAGATTTAATGTTGTACTATTTCCTGCAGGAGAGGCTATTTATTTAGAAGATTAATCTCTTGTAAATGCAAATATATCCTTAAGTCTGACTCGTGTTCGTGATAAACCCTTTGCCGATTTTTAATTTTGGACTTAAAACTTTTTTTTATCTAATCTTTATAATAAACAGTCTAGGGGTAATTTACTCAACCCGCACTTTGACTTTCCTCTAGTTAAAACAAATTCACTGTATCTAGTTTTTATCATCGAGATGTTTGGGTCATGAAAAACTGTGAGGAGGCTCTTATGCAAACTTAGAATTTCGCTAAACTTTTAATATGAATCAAGTGACCATTGGCCTTCCTAAACTTATCTTACAAGTTTGCCCATTTCCCTTCATTGATTTTTAAATCATTTTTAGCTTCAGTAAACATTTAAATTACTTATGTGCATATTAATGCTTGTAATTAATTTTTAAAACTGATAAAACAATTATACAACCCTTAACACTTATTATTTTGTTGCTTGAATGCCATTCATATTGATCATAGAATAAAGGTTTGTGTGTTATCTGTAATCAGATGCACCATAATTTACACACTCAATGCATGCATAATCAAAATAACAAGGCACAGATTAGTCTGGTAGCTGATTAGAATCACAACACTGATTGCTCTGCTTAACAAGAGTGAAGCTATCAGAGGTTATATTTGCCCTATTTTTTCTTTCTCGCTTGCTTGAAGGCACCAGACCTCAGACAACGTGTGCATTTCAATTATAGTCAAACAGTTTTTTTTAAACTTGTGATACTCTCTGAGGGAATAAAGCAGAAGCTACAGCGAGCCCAGCTTTCCTTCTGTTCTGAGGTTGTTATAAGGGCCGGGGAATCGCTGAATAATTAACCTTCACTTGAAAAGACTGGCACAGTGGTCTATTTCTTCTAGAGCTTTGAACAAATTTCCTGTTCAAACACAGACTCACAGGTTGGATGATGTATACTCAGAGCCTGCAGTTGGACTGCAGCAGTAGTTTAAAGGTGTATTCTTTGACTTATTGCTGCATTGTCATTCAGTTTTGTCCGGGCAATAGATCGACATCAGTAATCTCCGCCAGTGACAGTGTGGAAGTATGAAAATGAGCAGCTCCTCAATGTCTACATGAGGCTGGATCCAAAAACTAATTAAAGCCAGTCAGAGTCTGTAGTTTATTGAACTGTCCATTTATTGAAGTGTAAAGAAAATTATCTATCTTTTTGTATGTATGTCACATTTCTTTATTCATAAAAACTGTGCAGGGGTAAGCTTTTGTCAGTCTGCTCTGTTGTTGAAATGCAGAGTGGACATAATCAAGAGTAATTTGACTTAACGTTGGTTATGTAATCGGCAAAGCAGCTATAATACTGTATGTGGGCTTAACATTTTAAATGGCTGACACCCTGAGATGTAAAAGCCAACATTTTTACAGTCTGTGATCAGTAGTCTGAACTTTTATGGAACATTCCTGTGAGGTTTTGAGGTGTGAGGGGGCAAATCTCAAATTTTATTTTTATACTCCATTTGCATATTTTTAATTTAACACTACAACAGTGAGAAGTTAAGATGCGAATATAACTCTGGTGTCCATCCAGCCTCTTCATCTAACATCCCTGATGTCAAATCTTGAGGTTGATCGTTAAATTTGAATGATGAAATAAAAAACAGACATAATAAAATAAAAGTGGAAATCAATAAAATTAGACAATAAAATAAATGTGGGTACTGGTTAGGCTTAGCAATGAAATTGTGCCCCATGTGGTTGTTACATGAACTTTACTTTTTAAAAGTAGATCGTGCTAGAAACCTTTTTTTTTTTTTAAATATGCAAAAGTCCCACAATCCATAAGGTAAATTCTTTAATTTCCCCAAATTTAGAGGTAGCACCACCTCCAGTATACATCAAATAAAGGTAGAAGACAAATTTCAATAGATTTGTGGTTGAATAAGTGATCACAGCAGCTATTAAATGGTTAAATACCACTACTCTGTTTTCCATGAAAGACAAGGTGCCTAAAGGATAAAAAGGTGTGGGGCAAAAAGTGAAAAAAGGATGCTTATTATTTATAGAAAGACCATGGAAAAAGCTCCTGGTGGAGGCAAAGACCCTCTAAAAGCAGATTTATTCCAGGAGCCTCTGGTGTTGTGAGGATAAGATTTATGCGTTATGTCCATTCCTTGATTATTTGGGGATTTTTTATGAATATTTTATAACAGTACAGCCATTAGGTGTCAGTAGAGAAACCTTGCAGAAGACAAACCTTCGCCCCTATGCAATAGAAGCCAGTCGGTCTCAAACACTGTGTTTTCCGCCTGCAGTTTGCACTCCCCCACAGTTCAGCAGCTGACATTGTCACCTCCCTCACTGAAGTTTTTTTGAGATCTCCAGCATTTGTCTACAGGCATCTCCAGAGAGAACAGCACAGAGCTCCTGTCTCTTTCACTTTACTCCATATTCAAAGGGAAAGGCATAGGCGAATACATGATGGGATTGGTTCCAAATCACCATAAATATTTCATCCCTCTACAATAAATTATTATTTTCTTATGCCTGAGCCTGTGTGAGATCATTTGCCTGCCTCCCATGAAACATTTCTTTTAAACAACATCAGGGAATATCTTTTTATCAGGGATTCTTAAACGTTATGTGCCAGGGTGGCCCAATTAAAACATCCTCCCTGAAGACTCCAAAAGCTAACATCCTCGAAATGAAGCCTTGAACGTGTGATGCAACTATGCTGTAAAATCCAGACCTATGGAGAATAAATGGGCATAGATCACAAAGCAGAAAGACAGCTTTCAATTTTAAAGCTGCGTGGGATCATTAACAGCCTCACAGCTGATCCTGGTTCAAACATACAGGTCCATTGAAGTGAGTACATTCATGCAGGCTGGTTTCTGCACAAGACTGTTTATGTGCTGCTCCAAGGACGAGATCACTGGCCTTCAGCTGCCCTCCATACTGTGAAGGATGACACCAGGTCAGAGACGAGGGCAGGAAGAATCACATGCATGTCTACTCCAGGAAGACAACCATCTGCTGCAAAATCCTCTGTGAGATGGTAAGATTGTCCTCTGGCTCCTCCTGAGACCTGTCACACTACTGCCACCCACACACACACACACACTAACAAACATGCTTACGTTTACTCAATATACGTAATGGGAAAACTGTTACTGAACTATTTAATGCTGTGCACCTTCAATTGTGTTCTCAAAATGAATGCATGATTATAATGCAGTCCTGACTGTTAAATTGTGACTGTTGGATGCACATTAACTTAATTACTTTTGCTAATGTGCATCTGAATTTTCTTTCATTATTCAAATTTGTATTGTTTGAATGTCATTTCTCATGGGTCCACTTGACTTCACCGAAAATCCAGTAAGTCAAAAACATTTCTGTTCAGACACTCCAGTAAGGTAAACTCTCTATCTTGTGCCTCAATTCACAGTT